GGGCTTCTAAAGTAGGTATCTCTTTAGAACGTAAGGCAGCCCTTTGCCTTTCAGCCCAAATAGGAAATGATTTTGATAAGGCAGCTATAAAGACCGTATTTTGGTCTATAGTCTCGATTTTTGCTCCTACAGAGGCTAATTTAGATAAATAAGCCTTAAAAGAGCTAATAAATAGATTTAAAGAGCTATAATCCTCGAATTTAATAGCGTAGAATTCGAGATATAGCTGTTGCCTTAGAACCGGCCCGGAACCTTCATAGGTATCCTTTAGTAACTTTAGGGCTTCTGCTGGGTCTTTATTATTAAAAACCAGGCTAAGAGGTTCTGGCTGTAAATTTTGCCTTATAACTAGTAAGGCTTGTGATTTTTGCTCTTCGGTTATAGCTGAATATTTCTCTTGATCCTCAAAGTATTGGGATAAATTCAGCAATTTAAAATAGATTTGAAGGGTAGTAATCCAGGTATTCCAGTTATCTATACCCTTTAATCGTTGATTTTCAGGCATTAAACAGCCTGTAACGGCTCTTATAGCAGTAGTAGTAGTCGTAGTAGTCGAAGACATATTGACTTTTAATAGGGTGCTTATTGCCCTTAAATATAGGGACTTATAGCCCTTGGGTACTTATTGCCCTTGAGATAGGGGACTTATAGCCCAAAAACTGCTTATAATATAGGGAATTTATCCCTTAATAGGCTGCTGAAGATACTAAGGAGCTATGCCTTGAGTAAATAACAGGTATTTTGCCTTGTTATTAAGTGCTAAGCCCTAGGATATGCCTTTATAATAGGGTATATAAGCACTAAAAGCAGCAAGTAATATCTTAGAATAATAGTTTCTAAGACGTAATCCCCTTAATAGTCTCGTATTTAGTAGTACTAAGGACTTACACTTCGTCTGCCTTAATAGTACTAGAATAGAGTTAAAGTTTTAGACTTTTCGTCTTAGGGGAATATAGCCGTTATAATAATAACCGTTATAATAATATACGGTTTAAAAGAATAATAAATATAAATTCCTAAAACTTATAACGTACATGATAAGCGAGTGAGACAGACAAGCGAGTGAGACAGTAAACCAGACCTTCGCGACAATAATATCGAAATCTATAACAAGAAATCTTAGATTGATTAATACTACTCGGATTCCTGTTCTTCGGATGTTTCCTCAATAAATTGACATGTTCTCGCGTTGTGGCCTGTATTCCCGCATACGCCACACCGACGATAAGTCGTCTCAGACCTCACTTTGCGACCACTACTCCGTCGCGTTTCCTCTTGTAGTTGCGTGTCTGCCTCTCTTTGCGACTGTATATCCTCTCCAGTAGATATAGTAAGACTTCCTCCTTTCTGTAGACGTGTTTTCTTAGCCCTTCGACGCCGACTTAATATTGCATTCTCCTCTCGAAGGATTTGAACCTCTGACTCTAGTAATGCTACCCGATGCCCTAGTCCTTCTGTCCCTCTGGCTAGCTTACTCACAGCACTATAAATTGATGCTGGAGAGCTGCTTCGGTGGCGTGAGATTCGACTCTTAATAAAAGTAGACTGTGATCTTGCTTCGCTTGGGTTGCTCGGCGTCCTAGAGATCCAAGGGTCTGGTGTCTGAGGGACCCCCTCCTCAGGCGTTGGCGTTCGGAACTTTACATCCAGCTTTGAGAGAACACTTTCTGCATTCAAAGGGACAAGTCCAGCTCCTCGGAAACCTCCCTGGATATTTTTCCTCGTAAAAGACTGCTTAAAAGCTTCGTGAAATGCTGCAAAGAAATCTTCCTTCGAGATATGGGTTGTGCCTCGCCGCATCTTATTCTCAATTTGCCGACCGTAGGCATTCTTTAACGGCTGAAAACAACCAACATCTAAGGGTTGAAGTAGATGAGACGAGTGAGCCGGCATGCACAGTGTAATAATGTTGTTTTCTTGACAAAAGAGCTCGAAGGCTGCGGAGTGGTGACTTTCATGACCATCAACAACGAGGAGGCGATATTTCCCAGACGTACGTGGTTTTGTATAAATGTCGAAGTGTCTGATCCAGTCAATACCTCTCTCGTTTGTTGTCCATCCATTTTCAGACGTTGCAATAGCCCAATCGCCCGGAAGAGAGGTTTCTGTATACCAGCTTGAGAGGTGATACTGGCCTGCAACGATGATGTATGGCGGGATGCTCTCCCCTTGGGAATTAATAGCCTGGATAACTATAACCTATTCCCTATTGCTAGGCTGTGTCATCTTCGTATTTGAACGCCTTTCAGCACTTGTAACAACCATTCCAGAAGCAATAACGCCCATCATAAAGCCGGTCTCATCAAAGTTGTAGATATCAGCATCAGCAATACCATACTTCGCAATTGTATTCTTCACAAGCGAAAACCAGCCACGAATCACCTCTGGATCTTCGCATTGAGCTCTCTTATAGTCATACTTGCGAAAGAAACGCGTCCTAAGCTGTGGTTGTCGCTTGACGAAATTAGAAGCCCAGCGCTTCCCAACTGGAGGCGCGTCGCGCTCTGCGAGAAGTCGATTGGCCATTTCTTCCACACCACTCAGCCGGGGAGGAAATGATCGCGCATCTAGGTCGAGAATATACTCAACTATTGTCTTCTCTTCTAAATCTGATAAATTCCGTAAATTAGGCATGCTGTCGCGTCGTGAGACTATTCCCTTTAGTCGCCGGCTTAATGTTGCGTGACTGACTGTATAGAGTGCACCTGCGGCCCGAGCACTAAGTTTTGGGTCATTTCTCATTGCTTGAAGGGCAATTTGTAACCTTCTTTCAATACTAGCTGATTCCATGATTTATTGTAGAGGAAAAGGTGCCGGTCGCGTCAAGGTGCGACGGTCGCGGTTTACTGTCTCACTCGCTTGTCTGTCTCACTCGCTTATCATGTACGTTATCGTTTATAGGAATAAAATAGAGTTTAAGATATTTAATAACCGAAGAGTTGAGGATAAAAGAATAAGTAAAGTTATTACTCTGCTGGGCTCATAACCTGTTGGAACGGTAGGTAGGAATCTCGTAGATAGTACGATATCCTTATAACAGGGTATTAGAGTAAGGGAACTTGTACTTATGAAGTAGGGCTTTAATAGTAAAGAATGTATAGGCTTATATTGAAGCTGAGTTGGTTGAGGAACTAATAGCTAGCTAAGGGAGAGAATTAGGCTAGTTATATAGTAGTATAACGTCGCCTATAATAGCTAATATAGGAAGCTATAAGCTAGGTTTAGTATACGTAAGTATATACGTCAACTAGCTTATAAAGCAGCTTATAAATCAGACTAGAATCTTCTTTAACTAAATAGACTTTTAGATAAGGTTAAAGAGAGTATTCCATAGGGATCTGAATGTCATATGTTTAAACTAGCAAGCAGCCATTCTTAGCTAGTTACTTTTGTAAGTCCTACTAAGTCTTAGATAAGACTAAATAGGATAAATAAGTAAAATAGAAGTATAATATACTTATACTTCTAACATATTTAAACCTTTATAAAAAATTAGATGGCTATAATTATACTTAACATAGTTTATATATATTTTCTTTTCTTAGTAAGTATAGTAGTTAGTTTAATATAGAATTTCGAAAAACGGCGTTTTTGGTGTAAATGGGGTGCCCAAATGTGGGGGGTGCCCAGAAGTGGGTGTGGGACGTTAGTACCTACAATGCGGTAACGGGGGGGAGACCTCCATGCCAGATCTACACATGACAGAAATTGTTAGTGTCACGCAGGGGACGCAGTATGGAGTAACTGTAGGGATATCCAGAAACCCTCAATATCCCTCCATCACCAGGGGAAAAAAGAACAGGTCATCAATAATGAAATGGCACATGCATTCAGTCGTAATCCTCGTAGAGTTTTCCTACACTCGTCAAAACAAAGACCACACACACACACATATCAATCTCACACCAACAAACTCCGTCACGATCAACACGCGCTGAATCTCCAAACGTCTCCCATCTCACCCCCAAACCAAAACCTCATCCCTATCTCCACTTAAATCCCGCCCCCCAGCACCCCTAATTGGCCCTCCGCAACGCCTCGTGAATTCCCCCCTCCCCCCCTCGCGCACCCCTGCTTTGAAATTCCCGTCCAGCCCGTTCCTCCCGCATCACGTGCATCATCATCATCCTCCTCCTCCTTCTACAGCCTTTCTCCGTAAAAGAGGGCGAAAAAAAAAAGAGACGGCGAAAAACACTCCAAGCGGAGAAGCCGACAAATTCGGTTCCCCCTTCCCCCTTCCCCTCCTTCCTCCCTGACTCACTCTTTCACATTTTTGCCGCTGGAACCAGTTTCTGCCAACTCATATTTACTACGTTCGCCCGAACCGAACGGATCAGATTTTTGTTGAGGGGAGGGGGGGAGGACTTTTACGGGGAAAGGCTGACATATCTCACTATGAACAGCAGCGGTCATTTTGGTCATTTTGTCATGGCATCATCGCACACATAGATTTCTACCCTGAATATTCACCACTAGACAGATCTCACAAAAAAACACCTCGGGACAGTTAAAAGGACAGTTGAAGCGCAGTCAATGGCCGGAGCCTCTATTGTCATCATCTAAACAGAGAGAGACCCATGAATCTCGACGTAAGAAAAAAAAAAACTAGAAAAGTACTTTGCAAACTGCAGATATCTGTCTATCCCATTTGCCGTGCCCGCAGCCCGCCCATGAAATGCGGATGCCGATTTGTTTCCCTTCGTCCGTCCCAGATGCCGCGCGCGCGCGCGCGCTCCCCCTTCTTCAATCTCTTTCCCAATTCCTCTTCTTCTTTTTTTTCGCCCCTGCCCGGCCTGGGTCATGAACGGTCGTGGCGGCACATACTCATTATAGTCGTGAACAAAAAAATATCCCCTTTGTTCTGTAATATGCCTTAATCCACGAAAAACAAGAAACAAACCACCCGCTAAGAGAGTAAAAATGCACCTCGCCTTTTGGATGTATCGTGAGCGTATCCTTTTTTTTTCTTTCTTCAGACGCGAGAAAAAAAAAAAACCTTTTTAGACAGCACCAGACGAAATCATCTTCTTGCGCAGGTAGTTCTTGTACTCTCCTATCGTGCCCTCCCAAGGCTTGATGGTCTTGTTCTCGCACACCAGAATCTGCTTGGCAATCTTGTCCAAAAGTCTGAAGAGATGTTAGTGATGTGTTTGATTATAAATTTCATAATGTGAATGACATACCTGAAGTCGTGGGACACGACAATGACACCACCGCTGAAGGCGTTGATGGCGTCCGCCAAACTGTCAATGGTGGGGATATCCAAACCGTTGGTAGGCTCGTCGAGCAAAAGCATGTTGGGGCTCTCGATGGCGAGCAGGGCGAAGACGATACGGGACTTCTGGCCGTCGGACAGGGTACCGATCAGGGAGGTCTGGGCCTCACCAGTCAGACCGTAGCGGCCGAGCTGCTGACGCCAGTACTGGTAGTCCTGGGACTTCTCCTTGTACTTCTCGCGGACGAAGTCGAGAGCCGACTTGGTGAGGTCAAGCTGCTCGGCAGAGTGCTGGGAGTACAGACCAAGCTTCAAGTGAGTGTGACGGGTGACAGCACCGTTGGTGGGGGAGAGCTTGCCGGTCATCAGGCGCAGCAGGGTGGACTTGCCAACACCGTTGGGGCCGACGAGAGCGGTACGGGAGTCCATGTCGAACCCGAGGTCGATGTTGCGGTACAGGTCGTCCTTGGCGTCACCAGAGTAGGAGAAGGTGACGTTGTCAAAAGACAGGACGGGAGGGGGCAGCTTCTCGACATCGGCGAAACGGAAGGTGAAGACCTTGTCGGGGATGACGGGCTGGATGAAGCCGTCGGCCTCCATCTTGTCCAGAATCTTCTGACGGGACTTGGCCTGACGCACCAAGTTGGCGTAGGTACCGGCGGAAGCGATGAACTTCTTGATGTGGACGATTTCGTCCTGCTGCTTTTGGTAGGCCTTCATCTGGTTCGTCTCCTGTTCGGATCTCGTCTTGCTGTACGAGTCGTAGTTACCTCCGTAGTAGAGGAGCTGCTTCATGCGCATGTCGATCATGGTTGTGCACACACCGTTGAGGAAGTCCATGGAGTGGGAAACAAGGACGAGCGTACGCTCCCACTTCTTGAGGTACTCCTCAAGCCACACACAGGCCTCGAGATCCAAATGGGCAGTGGGGTCGTCGAGCAACAGCAGCGAGGGCTTGACGAACAGCGCCTTGGCGAGGGCGACACGCATTCTCCAACCACCGGACATGTCCTTGGTCTTCTTGTGAATGGTGACCTTGTTGAAACCCAGACCGGTCAAAATGAGGGAAGCGCGGGTGGCGAAGGTAGAGGGGTCCATCTTCTCCATGTGCTACGGGAGCTGTTAGCGGAAATTCATCTTCACATGTGCTTAGGCAGGTTACTCACCTCGTAGAGGTCCATGAGGACCGGGTCCTCGGGACCGTTGTCCTCCAAAATCTTTTCAGCCAACTTGTCCAGACGCTCCATCTCACGCTCGGCCTCGGTCACGACCCACTCAAGGGCACCGAGTTCAGAGGGAGGAGCACCCTCGTTCAGGAGGTAGATGTCGACGTGCTCAGGGATAGGGAACTCGCGCTTGGCGATGGCCTTGAGAAGAGTAGACTTTCCGCAACCGTTCTCACCCAGGAGACCGTACCGGCGACCGTAGGAAAGCTCGAGGGTGGTATCGTTGAAGAGAACGCGACCGTGGAACACCAAACTGGCACTGGTGATCTTGACGTCTCTGCTGGTAGGGGTAGAAGCCAGGACACCGGTAGTGACACGGTCAGAGATACCGTGCTTGTCCATCTGGGCGGCGAGGCGGTTGACCTCGTCCATCTTCTCGGCGGAGGTGGCGGGGGCGTCATCGTCGCCGTTCACCGACGAGGCGGTAGTGCTGGCATTCTTAGAGCCGAGCTTCTTCTTGTCAAGCTTGCCCTCAGCAGCCTTCTTGGCGAGTCTCTTCTCCTTGGAGGCGGAAACCATGATGGCGGTCGTTGATGACGATGGCGGGGTATTCCTTTTTTTTTAAGCGATGGCGGGGAACGTGGTCGTCCGGCAGAAAAAAATGAAGAATCAAGAGAAGAAAGACAAAAACGAATTTCCCTTATTTACTTCTATTGATGCGGTCAACGACGATGGAAGATAATGCCACGCAGCGTCAAGTCGGCGATGAAGTCGACTTGTGAAAGGAAGGAATGGGGGGAGGAGGGAAAGCGGCGTGTAGAGGAAGAAAGAAAGAGAAGGGGTAAAAAAAAATTCGATGGTTTCCTCCGACAGGGTGGTGGCCAAGCGACAAAGCCAAAAAAGAAATAAAAATAAAAAAAGGTACGTGGAGCGGCGGTGCGAAACACAGCCTTGGGAGCAGTGATTTCAGGTTCTCAAAAGGTGGGGAGGGGTCTGACGAGTGTGGTAGTGGGGCAGAATCACTCAAAATTTTGAAAAAGCTGATAATCGATAGGGTAGCGAGGGGCGATAAGGCACCAATTCAGTCATAATGCACTACGAATGGATACGTACCCCCGCTATGGTGCAGTAAAAGAGGCCTGGGTGGCCTCTGTTCCCTCCTCCCCTGCTGGTTGCTGATGCTACTGCTGATGCTGCTGCTGCTGCTGCTGGGTGGTGGTGTGGACCAACCACTAATGCTGTCCTCTCTTTTGGCAAACAATTACACGTACACATCAAACGCCACACATCTTTTTACCAAATAATTAGTGCGTGTCTCGTACCTGTTGCGGCAACGAAGTGAATACCAAGGCGGCCTATCATACGATGTCCTCTGAACACCTTCATACAGCCTGCACGAATGCTTTGGATGCGGCGGCTTTTGTCAAGTGAACCCCTCCGCAATTCGATATCGTTATCTAATCGTTGGCGCCAAATAGACCCGCTTCTCACCTTGGAAGCGGACACGCCTCCCAATGGGGCTTGACGTCACGCGTCACGTGAATCCCCCTCTGACTTTGGCTGTGTTCTGATTGGGTGCGCCAATAGATGGTGGTGGCATGAGCGGTGAGTGGTGAGTGTTGTGGGTAGATGGTGGCTCAGTGAAGATCTCGGAGAGTAACCAGGTCATTTACATTTGTATTGTTTTATATAGTTTCAAAACTGTAATATCAATGGCCAATATTCCGTATATCCTTGGGTATCAATCCAGCTGACAGCTTATCAAATCCAATACGCCATGGGGCAACTGAGTGCCGTCAAGTTGCTAATTCCGGGCTTGAGTGTCTGTGACCGGCCACTACTTCTCTCAACCCTTTCGTTTAAAGGGTTCTAGTGGCTATTCCTCAAAAACGCCAATGATGTGTTGTTGGTGACATGTCGCCCAGCACCACAGCCACCTCTCTCGCTCAACGTGGCTTACTCTTTAGTATACCCGGCCGGTGAAAAAGTATGTGCTGTGAATGTCCTCGAAGCGGGTATCATTTAAACTGCCCTATACAATGACAGTTTGTTTTCCCAGTTCGGTAAGAGAGATTGATATGTGCTCTCCAAGTCAGCTTGTTTCCTCAATTGCGTAGCTACCGCGGCCGTAACTGTTTTGTACGGTCTGTATCCCGGTAGCCGGCGTTGGCGGTAACGGCTGTACGGCATTGGGCCATTTGCATAGCCAGACGATGCCGCTGTCTGTTATGTTTCTTTATCTCCGTCATGTAAAAATAATTCAAAACCTCGCTTGTCGACTGCTGTAATCCCTCGCCACAGTGACCGTCCCGTCGGCCCCAGGTACGAAGCGAACGTAATGGTTCGCAAAGTAGGAGAGCATCATCCTTCTCGGGATGAAAATCTCCATCGGCGTCGTCGGCGGCACCGGCACCATCTCACAGAGCTCTCCTCTCGGCACGAAGACGACATCCGAGTACTGCCGGCGAATGTTGTCCACCTCGACGCATGCAAAAACAAATAATGAAAAATGTACAACCCTGCGTTCGTCAGTCAGCATCCGTGCCCCCCAAGCAAGCCATGTAGAGGCACAACACAATAAAAGAAAAAAAGGGGGATTCAAAACTCACATCAACCAAAACATGAAAAAGACCAGGGCCGCCGTGGTATGCGACTGCCGTGCGTCAACCACCCAATACGTCCCTCGCTGATAATCAAGCCACTGTGCCACCACCACCCCCATCAGCGCCGCCGTGGGCAGCCATACCAGTAAATGCCCGGCGACGTGACCCCCCGTGTTCCCCCAGCTGAATCTCGTACTCCTCTGCCGCCTCCCCGTGTCCTTCGTCCACCGCACCCCCTTATCCCTCACCAGCAGCGCGATAAGGTCCGCCAAGCTCCAGATGATGCCCAGTACCGCCGTCGGACTGCCCATGGCCCAATTCCAGCTGTACAGGAAATCCCCGTCACGCTGCGAACCCAAGGCGCCGAGGATGGTGATGCCGAGCAGGATGGAGGCGACGCGGAGGCAGAGGGTTGTCCGGTACATTGAGCGGTTGTAAGGGATCGCGGCGAGGAAGTCTCCGTGGCGATGACCGCTGCTCTCCGGGGCCAACGTCATGATGGCCGGGTGGAGCGGCGTGTTGTCCATTGTGACGGTCTCGGGGAGGAGTCGGCCTGCATCGCCTTGACAGGTTGTTGCTCGTCTCGAGCGGTTGATCGCGTTTGTCACGAGGGGATTATCATGGATGCCGTAGTTGCCGCGACGCCTTTGTTTCGATTGTTGTTTGTTTTTTCCTTCTCTTCCTTCCTCTCTCTCTCTCTCTTTCTCTTTCTTCGGCCGATTCGCACTAAGGTCTTCGCGGTTGATTGATTTGATGATATCGTCGACGTCGGATTACGCGGAGAGTAAGACGAGGGGGCGTCGCAAGTTGTCGATGGGTAAAATAGCGTCGGAACCACTGGAAAACCAGCAGAACCAGCATGGGAAAGGATCGGAAGGCCCTGCGGACAGGGGAATGCGACAAAGCCCGCTAAGCCAATTCTTCCCTGGGGGGGCATCCGAGTGACCCATTCACAGCGCGACGGTACGAGGTGCCAGTGGGGCTACCATGTGCCCACAGTCCCTGGGGCGCCCTGTGACAGCGCGAGTCGGCCCCCTGAAGCAAGTGCTGTGCCACTCACTGGTACACTACCGGTAGGCTGGGGGGGCCGCCTTTGATGTCACTGGTGCTTTAGTGGTGTGAGTTTATTCCGAGGCGAAATGGAAGGTCGGGGCAAGCCATGCGATGGGTTGATAGCCTCATTTTTGGAATTGATGTTTCATGGTTAATTGCTATGTGACTTTGAATGAGTTTCAATTGAGATGTCGTCAAATGACGATGTATGTAATGTATAGTATGTGTAGAGTCTCATCTTGATTCTATAATCTCAGTATGAGTAACCATACGTATCATGAGAGCTGGTACCCAAAGCCTCCCATTTTAATATGCCAAATACCCAATGTCCAATACCCCAACGCCATGCAAATCGTGATGCTATACACGGGTATCTTTCAAAAAACAACCAAGCCCATGTGATTCTTCCCTCGCTACAGCGACCTTGTCCTACCGCTGGTGTGCCCCTGCGACGAGGACTCCCCCAAGGAGGCCAAAATGGCCGTCTTATTCACCCTAAACTTGCCCTCCCTCGAATCCGCATCTGCCGGCGTCATGCCCGTCGCGCTCGTCGCAAACTTCAAGTCCACGTCCCCGGGCATAATCAGCTGCGGCTGCGCGTCTCCCCTTCTCATCCTCTCCAGCTCCGCCTCGTCAGGCTCGTAATCTTCCGGCGGGGGCCTCATGCCCGGCCGCAAGTGTCGATCGATATCTCCCGGCGCGATGTTCGGCGGCACTCCCCTGACGGGCTTCCTCTTGATAGCCGAGACCGCCGACGGACGTTCCGGTAGCGGCGGCGGGGACTCTGGCGGGAAGAGCTGGGGCGGCGACTTTGGCACATCGACGCGCAGCCGCGGCGGCGGTTGCTGCGGGAATCCGTTGCTGTTGGTCGTGGTCTGGCTCGTCGGGCTCTGAGGCGATAGCGGGAACGACGGCGTGCGGGCGGAATACTGCGATCGCCACGTCGGCTGTTTGGGGAACGCCTTCGCGACGACGTAGACGGTTTGGCCGGTTTCGGGTAAGAACATGACCCTCGGTCTGCGGCGGCGGATCTCGCGGCGTCGTTCGATGCAGGCGCGGAAGAAGAGGAATGCGTGAATCAGTCTAAGGGGGGTTACTATATTAGTCGACGGGGAGACCACGCTGTGAAAGCAGAGGATGAGATTTTGAAGGTCCTACGCACGCGTTGATGCCCATGAAGATGCATTCCGTCAGGACGAGGTTGAGCGGGTAAAGAACGGCATTACCCCCGAAGTTTTCGTTCTGCCATGTGAGCTGGAGAGATACCCAGCCGGCGGCGACGGCTGAGAGGGTACCGAAGACGAGCTCGACGCCGATGAGAGCTTTAGGTGTGATGCCGCGGCCATGACGGGCACAAATGGTGAGAAACTCGGCCAGGTCCCAGAAGAAAGACGGCAGAGCCTGTGCCAGTCAGAATCCATAAAGTTCCTACAACTACTTTACTTCTGCGGTATACTGCGGGAGGGAGGGGGGTTATTGGTAGACGAACAGCAAAGAGACATAGACCAGGCCACACTGAGAACAGCGTATCGGGTTGCGGAGCCGAATACCAGGCGAGGCAAATAACCAGAACAATAGTGCAAAGAAGAAGCCCGATGAGGCGCAGGATAATCTTGCAGACCTCCCAGCCGCGACTACGCTGGTTCTCTAGCCAGCGGACCTGGGACGGGTCGATGGAAGTAGTTGGCGAAGGAGGCTTCCCGGCGTCCACCTCGGAAGAAAGCGATTCGAGCTGGTACGACTCGGGCGCACTCATATTCACCGTGGGCCGCGCATGGGCGAATCTGTCTGAACGGTCCCAGTTATATGGATATGTAGGCGTTGAGGTTGGCGTTGCTAACGAAGGTGGTTGTGGTGGTGGTGGTGCAGCCGGCAGCGGCTTTCTGGAGATTTTCCCCATATTGGGTTTCTCTCTCGTATTATCGGCGCATCGGCGCTTCACTCGCCGCTGAATAACACCTCGTTTCAATCTCCTATTTTTTCCCTCCCTTCTCTTTCAAACTTCCGTGGCCCGTTCGTCTGGTTACTACGTTTGCCCCTGACTCGTTCCGAGGCAAGGGGTCTCCGCAGCTGTGCTTCAGCGGACGGAGGTTAATGCCGGCTTGGCTAAAGTATCCAGTTGGTCATTTGAAAATGACTTGATGGAGAAGCAAAAAAGAGATGGGAATTTGGGACGTTGGAAAGAAACGTGGTCCAGCCCTTGTCTGTCCTATGCGCCTCGTTTGGTATATGGACAGGAGAAAATAAGGTGGTGACCATTGGGAAACCCCCAGACGCAGCATGGCGGCGGCAGGATGCAGTTAAGTCAATATTCACCATGTGCCAAAAACCGCATTGGAATTAGGCAACCGTATTCCAATTGGCTCCACTCGTCTGCGGAAGCCCGAACCGAATCCATCCACAGGGCGAAAAGTGTATTGGCGCGTTTTCGACTCCTCCACTTGGCGCTGTACAGAGTCACCATAGTATGCATAGTAGTACACTACACTCTTCTAGAATGTCCATGGGTGAGGCATCGCGGACTGATCTGCAGCAAGGCCCTGTTGATGTTATGGTCAAGGCTTGATCCAAGCCACTTGAAAGTGAGCACTTCATCAACTAGACAAGCTGCCTGGCTAAAGCTGTCTTGGGTTCCCCTTTCGAGCAGAGGCTTTACACACTGATCCGAGGGAGTGGCTCATAAAGCTCATGCTTTGCTTACTTCTCACCCCTGACGAATGTTCAGGTCTACCAATCACGGCGATGGTCCCTATACGAGGCGATTGAATCCCCTCGCTAGCTGTTCCCTCAGTAAACAAGAGAACAAATAGTATGACCCAATCATGGCAAATTACCCAGTGCAATCCTAGCATTCCTAGCATTCCGTACCCTGGCGTAGCGCCCAACACAGCATCAAGAGTTTTTTATTACAGATTAAAACAACCTCAATTACCGCTGCCTATAACCGTCGATGGTCGAATAATAATATCATTATGCTAAAAGGAGAATAGCAAAAGGGTTAGTTAAAACGCACAATTGGCCAAAAGCAAAAACAATGGACACTGTGGGAATTGAACCCACGACCTTTCACAGAGCGCATCGCCGGAACGACGAAGATGCGAAGCGAAAATCATACCCCTAGACCAAGCGCCCATTGTTGGGAGACTTGTCTTGATTTGCATCTATGAAGCGCGTACCCGAGCATGCGACCATCCTTACTGTTTTGGCTATTCATCTTCTACGACGCTGATGCATAAAGCTTTTACCTTATTAAGAGCCTAGACAACGCTTTTAAAATGTAGCATCAACCCGGACTGAAACTCTTATCTACGTTCACCAACTAAGGTGTGCACCAAGATCACGACCAGCACAAAACACACATGGCCAACACTTATACATCACGACACAAACGTTACGGAATTTCTTTTGATTCCATCCACCCTCTTGGGTATACTATTCATACAAGGTCATAATCATTCCCATTTTTCCAAATTTACGCCTGAACATCGCTCTTCAAGTTCTCGTACACAGTCTGGCCTCCAGTCTCGGTCTGGCGGGGACCAGCATCACGCGCGCCCTTGGTCTGGCTCAGCTGGAAGTGCTGCTCCGCGACGCGGCCGGGGTCGTTCTCGCTGCCGGGCTCGGCCTTGAACGCCTCCTGCACGCCGTCCTTGGTGTTCTTGGCGTCGAAGCCCTCCTGGATGTTCTTGCCGTGGGGGCCCGCGGGGTCGCGGATGTACTGGTTGTTCACGTATGTCGGCGCTGTGCCGGCCTGACCGGGGATCGATGATGAGCTTGCGCCGGTAGAAGAGCCAGTGCCGGCTCGGGCAGCGGAGTTGGTGGTGCCGGAAGAGGCGTCGACGCCGGCGTTGGCTGCGAAGGAGCCGCCCTCGCGGGCGGACTCGGCGGCGAGAGAGCCCGAGGGGACAGGGCCCGTGGACTCACTCTGGGTGGGGGCACCGGCGCCGGGTTGGACCTGTCCTTGTTAGCATCGTTATACTGAGATTCACATACAGCCTTGCAGGCCTCGGCGGGAGCTGTGAACATACCTTGGTGCCGGCAGAGGGGGCCTTGTTGTTGGTGGTGTTGCTGAACTGGGCAGACATATTGATGGTTGTTTATGATGATTGGTTGATGTTATACGGGGTATAAAAAAATGGTCAGATGTGATGGTTTGCCTTTTTTTTGTAAGTGTCGTGTGTCTAATTGACTTATTCTGGTTTTCAAACCTCATCCAAGGGCTCAATGGCCGCCATATAAATCTCCAAAGGCCGCGCATGACATCATGTCGAGCCCTTCTTACATCAATCTGAGCCGGAGGTGAATCTCCAAGCACAGACGGCGAACCCACTGCAGTATGACTTCAGCCTCTCCACATATTCCTCCCCAGGCTTGTGGCGCGATGGGATGAGCAACTCATTACATCATTCAGCGAACCTTTCTCCTCTCCTTTTTTCTCCATTGAGAAATATGAAGCAAGCTGAAAACAAGGCATAAAGTGGCTAGAGCATTCTCTTTGCTTGTCTACAAGGCGATCGACCATCGTCGCGCATCCGATCGATCTTCACCGACGCCTCACCGAGGTGTGGGGGGCTGGTGAGCGGGCCGGCGCGAGGTTAACAAATGGACCACAATGACGATTTACGTTGCGGATGAAGACAGTTCCTTGGTGGCGAATGAGGCTTTTTGTGCTTGGCGACGTCACTTCTGCTATTCCGAAATGGGCGTCTCCATTGTCATCCTAGTTTCAACATGGTATTTTGCGATCTCCATCTTGACCGAAGCCCTTGCTTCGATCTAGGGTTTTAGGGTCCTGACTTGCCAGCCTGATGGAGCTGAATGGTTTTAATCTGCTGAAACTAAAGGTTTTTGCGTGAGATGAATGCTCTAAACAGATTACACATCGCGATTGGCTTCCCAGACGTTTAGTATCCATGGAGAGTCCTGGATAAGATGCGGTTGGCAGTGTCTTCCGAGACCATCATTAAGACCAGTACCAGAAATGAGTCTGAACCATTTCTATGAAGGCTAATACCAATAATCCCTGTTATGTGGCAACCGCCGAAGGCAGCTCGAGATTGGATTTTTAAGCATCTAAACAAGCTCGAAGTTGTCACTTGTGCTGGCTGAGCCTTAGCAGGCTTCTGTTAATGTTGTAATAGGTGTTACAAAGTTTTTATTTCATTAACATATTTTCATGTTATATTTTGCTATATTGTATGGCGTATCATGCTCATTAAGGATTCAACACGAGTCCGATGTTGACTCTGTTTGGAAATGCAGATTACAATTACCGCCAAGTACGAAAAAGCCGTAAGCCCGAGCAGCCTCTTTGAGAGTATCTATTGCTATTACTTGGCCGACGAAGTGTAGGTAGATAACGATAATTCTGTTTTGCAGCTATCTTGGTCAGTCTCAAATACTCTGAGCTGCTTCTTTACGGCCGTTCTACCTTATGTTGTGGTGCAATGCAGACGAAACCGGACTTGTGACATGTAAACATCTATCTAGATAAACTTTACGCAAGATATCGTCGGGGGTAATATCAAGCCTCTCAGTTCACTTAGTTCCAGTCGACTGTTGATATTCATGACTTTGTAAGGCGCCAGTAGTTATAGTTACAAATCGCTGGCAATGCCAGCAACTTCCAACAAACCTGGACAACAAGACAGAGTACCGCGTGCTGGGTGGTTTTAAATAAACTCACCGTATGAACCACTCATTACTTGAGACAAGCAATGGTGTAGATGTATTCAACGCTGGACTGACCACGATAAAATTAAGGATAAAGTGGCTGACCAATGTCAACTAATCAGAAATCGACTGCAATATCATGATCTCCTACCACTTGCCTAAGATGTGCGGAAAGAATATGTTAGCGACAGCTTGGAGAAGGTGCTTATCTGTCACCACCGCACCGCCCTTTTGCGCTTGGAAATCCAGAACCTTGATTATTCGATGGAACAAATACCACAGGTTCCCAACGTTGATGAGAACCCTCAGAAAAGGATCATGATATACGGCAGACAAGATCAGCACACCGAATGACCACTGAATGACTTAAAAAGTATCAACAGTGCAGTGGTTGACGTGTGGGTTTCAACGCTTACCCGTGGGCTGTGGCTGAAATGTGGTCAAGGAGTGGCCGTCATCCACGCTATGGAAGGGCCCAATACTATCGATGGTATAAAAATGCCGTAATGTATCATGTGCATTAACTACTCTTTGATTTGTCTTTCAGGGGCTCGGCTCTCATCTTGATGACTATGTCTGATGCCGGGATAGAGTCAGCATTTGACTGCCTCCGCTGGTATGAGTTGGTGAGCGCCATTTTGATGAAAGCTTTGAACAAGGCGGCTTGAAAATCCGGGGTTTAGACCGAAAATAAGCTCAAATGGTGTCCTTGGGCGGGGGTTCCTTCTCATCGACTTCGAGACTCTTGGCAATCCATTTCATTCTGTCCAAGGTGTCCTTCAATGAGTAAGTCGGCACTTGGTCTGTGGTGGTGACAATTCCGTTATCAAGGGGACATAGAGTTCGCTTTACAAGCCGTTCAAACCTTTCCGTACATATACTATCTCCAAAGAGTGATTCGAAAGCTATCAATGATAACGATCAACTAGTAGAAGCATTTTTGGCTGTGGTAGTGCATGCTTATATTCACGTACAAAGGAGGGCGGGATGAGGCTGGCCACATCAAGTGCTTCGCTTATGAGTAAATATTGACGTCGAAGTGAATGGAGAGTCGAAATACACGAGGAATCTATGTGCCCTATGAATGCTGCTTTAGTCGTGAGCCGATTGTGTGTAAAGACACTAGCATTGTACAACAGCACAAGTTTATCGAGACTACTACTGGAGAAAGAACCGAAGTATGAAAGCCCGCTACTAGTACAATAAAATGTTCCTCCAACGAAGCCCCTCCAACTCCTGAGGTGCTAAACAGGGAAATAGGAGAATTAAAGGGTCAGTTAAAGACCTAGGTCACCCTCCGCAAACCAAAAGAACTGAACATGACCCGAAGCACAGCCAGTGACCAGCGTAGATCCGGCGACGGCCGAGCGCCTCGATCGGTACACTGGCGGCAGCCATAGGAGATTCTCAGAGTCTCTAGTAATCCACGTGCCGTCAGCACTGATTGCATAGCCACAAAACCGAGGGCATTCAGTCATAGTAATCCCTGTAACTGATGCTGTCGTACTAATAGCAAATGTGTTTTTAAGGTCGATAGAGCCTATATCCGTGTGAAGTATTTCGTTGGTTTCTGAAAAACGAAGACTATAAAGCGTGCGGAACATGTCGAATGTCCGGAGACACTGCCCTGTTGCGCTATACCAGATCTTAACGGTTTGATCAGATGACGCCGATGCCAGCTGCGTACCTTCGCTCGAGAAAGCGACTGAGTCGACGTCGCCGTCATGGCCCTCAAGCGTTTGGAGACACTGCCCTGTCTCGCTATACCAGATCTTAACGGTATTATCATCCGACCCGGATGCCAGCCGCGAGCTGTCTCCCGAGAAGGTTACCGAAATAACAGAGTTCATATGGCCCTCAAGCGTTTGGAGACACTGGCCTGTGGTACCATCCCAGATCTTAACGGTATTATCATCCGACCCTGAAGCTAGCTTCGTGTCATCGACTGAGAAGGCCACCGAACAGACGGAGTGGCTATGGCCCTCAAGTGTTTGGAGACACTGGCCTGTCGTACCATCCCAGATCTTAACGGTATTATCATTCGACCCTGATGCCAGCCGCGAGCTGTCTCCCGAGAAGGTTACCGAAGTAACAGAGTTCATATGGCCCTCAAGCGTTTGGAGACACTGGCCTGTGGCACCATCCCAGATCTTGATAGTATGGTCGCCCGACCCTGAAGCTAGCTTCGTGTTATCGTTCGAGAAGGCCACTGAAGTGACAAAGCTGCTATGCCCTTCCGGCGTCTGGAGATATCGGTCGTTGGGCCTGCCCCAGATCTGGATATTACGATCGTCCGATACTGACGTTAACTGCGTGCCTTTGTCTGAGAAGACCACCGACTCAACGCGGCTGTAATAACTTTCAGGCGCGTATGAAATTTCTCTTGGAACGATGTCCCAGATCCTGATAGTGCAGTCACCTGATCCTGATGCTAGCTGCGTGTTATTCCTTGAGAAGGTCACCGACCTGACCATGCTATGGACCTGGAGCGTTTGGAGACACTGGCCTGTGGCGCTATCCCAGATCTTAATAGTGCGATCATGGGACCCTGATGCTAGCTTCGTGCTATCGCTCGAGAACGCCACCGACCGGACGGCGTCGCCATGGCCCTCAAGTGTTTGGAGACACTGCCCTGTCGAGCTGTCCCAGACCTTGACGGTTTGGTCCCATGACGCCGATGCCAGCTGTATGCTATCATCTGAGAAAGCTATGGAGGCGACAGTGCCCTTATGTCCCTTAATTGTTTGAAGATGCTGGCCTGTGGTGGTATCCCAGACCTTAATAGTGTTGTCAGCTGACACTGATGCCAGCCGTGTGCTATCAACTGAGAAGACCATCAACCAGACGATATCGCTATGGCCTATAAGCACCCAGGGACACTGGCTTGTGGTGCTATCCCAGATATTGATAGTGTTATCCTCCAGCGCTGACCCTAGCTTTGTGCCATCGCCCGAGCAGGCGACTGAGCAGACGTCGTCGCCATGGAACCCAAACGTTTGGAGACACTGGCCTGTGGCGCTATCCCAGATCTTAACGGTGCGATCACGGGACCTTGATACCAGCTTCGTGCTAGCGCTCGAGAAGGCTACCGACCGGACGGTGTCTTTATGGCCCTCAAGCGTCTGAAGACACCGGCCCGTGGTGCTGTCCCATACCTTAATGGTATTATCATCCGACGCTGACGCCAGCTGCGTGCCATCTCCCGAGAAAGCCACCGAGGTGACAGTGCTGTCATGGCCCTCCAATGTCTGCTGGCATGCATTCCAGTTATTTTCTACAGAAGGCTTTATAGTTACCCATTGAGGTTCCAGATGTCTAAACAAACTCCAAACAAAGCTACGTTTTGGGCAAAATATAAGTGCTGAAGTATATACCTGAAGAGGGCTGCTCTCAATACCTACTTTATTAGTTCGAATAAACCGTAATGCGTCCTGAGTTAAATTCCTAAATACCAATGCCTCCCCTGAGGCCTTACCGTATTAATATTAATTAAGGGTTAGAAGTTCGTGATTTACATACCTGGACCAGGCATGCCAGCTTAGCCATTTGAAGGATACCCTCTGACATACTCCCAACAAGACTTAGCGCCTCTAGCCAGTGAAGGTAGTGCTGCTCTAAGAATGTATGAACCGGACCGCTATCTTGGAGATAGTTATGCCCCTGCCCGGCAGGATTCCCGTCCGACAGGTGGTAGATCCAGTAGACGAGGGAATACCGGGCTGGCGCTAGTGGATCAGGATCGGGCGGCTCAACTTCGTCGATAGGGTATCCCGGCGCGCGAAGGTCATATACGTCGCGTTTGAGTATTCTCGACATGACTTGGATCGATTGTAAGACAATATCATTGTGCCTTGCTGCTGAGCCAGATGGAAAGAGATACCTATCTAGCATTAAGAAGTCTTTAGCTGACTGGTGAACAAGGTAAACAATACTGTCTCGTATTGTAAGAAATGACCCGCATAAAGCTACAATTGTAGCGATATGTTGTAGATGTGATATATCTACCGGTAGGTCGGCAAGGGCTTGTAATTCCTGTAGATGAAGAGGGCGATAGGTAGTAGTGACTGTTGAGAGAATTTTGCGGCAGAAATCGGCACTTCTCCGCCGTAGTTGTTGAATTTGGCGTATCATCCGTCCATATAGCTCCTCCAACCCAGCCGGAATGTCGTCTATTGTTTCTAGAATATCCCAGCTCTGCGCTTTACGAAGCTCTTGGATCACTAATGCCACCCAGAGGAAAGTCCCGTCGGCTTTTACCTGCATTTTCTGTCTTACTTGCTCTTGGAGGACTACGTCTCTTTGTAACTGTGCTAACTCTGAAACGCACTGCGCAATGTACGTGTTCACAGCCCAAGATATATGGTGTGCATTTTCCTTTAGCTCTAGGACTAGTAGTTTCTGAGTCTCGGTCGGCTGTATTTTATTTTCGATATGATAAATATTGCGGCTAGATATAAGCAGCTTCGCGCGCGATGATGAGGATGAGGATATTTTGACGATCAGGTGTAGGAGTTGGTCAAGGTTGGTCTCACACTCGTCAAGTGCGTCGATAACTAAGTAGGTGTCTCGCAGACTTGGGTCCTCCAAGATGCTAAAAAGCATCTTGGATAAGGCGTCCCAGCTGTTTGCGTCTTCAACCAGTTTCTTCCCGGCGTGATCGTACTTTTCCCGCACGCGCCCGATACGGGATGGCTCTTGAATGAGGATCTGATAGATGAGGCCGCGAAGTACAGCCGTCGCATTGTTCAGCCGTACATCCGTAGCCTGACAGAAGAAATAGGATAGCATTGTTCTGGATGACTTCTCCAGCTCGTCAATAATACCACAGAGCAGCATCGTCTTGCCTTTGCCGGGATCACCCTTGATCCAGAGCAGACGGCTCTGTCCGCCGTCACGCCATTGGCGGAAGTCATCGTGCTCGAGAATCCAACGATATGAATCTCGGAGGAGGCCGCCTTTCACACGCTCGATACGTGACTTGTCGTCGCGCGGATCGGTGATGTATAAGGCCTGTAAGAAATCGCAATCGCCGTTGGATGTTGCTCCTTTTTTACTCGTTAGTTCGGTTGCGCGATGCCTATAAGGAGGCCTACCAAAGTAGATATCGCGAGCGCTGAAATTACCAGAGCCCGAGTGTTGAATCCCGGTACCATGCAACTCCGATCGAACGTTAGGCTGTATCGCTCTGTGGATTGCCCCGCTACCATCATTTTGAGACACAATGTCTGGTGTGGCCTGTCGCTTTCTAGACCTTTCGTCTAGATCAAACACTTTTTGAGGCCACGGCCTTTTGGGGTTGTCCCCCATTGCAAAGGCCCTATGGACTCCTTGGGTAGTATGTAGAATAAACTTGCGCTCATCTGATCAGGCTGAGCGAACGACGGCTGATGAGGGGATTTCGCTAACGTAGGCCTGCGTTATTGGCTGGACCGCAAGACCCTGGACGGTTAACATGCGCCCAGTAAGCGAGTCGACGATTGGGTAATCGGAACGAGCAGCTTACCCCGCCATATCTAAATAGGTGAAAGCAGCTGAGCGGCGGTAAGAATTGTCGAGTGACCAACTGCCCTTCGCCATATTATCCCATCAAGTCCGGCATGGCCACAGTACATCGATATAAGAGCCCAAGCAAAGAGGCTTATTTACGTATCTATTGTCCATGATTAGGACTGAAGTTTATTGTCTGAATTCCATGCTGTGGTGGTGGTTCGGTGCTTGCGGTGTAGCGCACCTACAACCATGTGGCCTCGCATCAGCCACACCAGCTGTCCCTCCAAACAACTCCTGCCAGGCTTTGTGCTGATTTGAGCCTTCCCTCTAAGATTATAATAGGATATAACGCTTTAAGTAGCTCGTTCTTCTCTACTTATAAGAGGCAGAGGTATTGAGTAATATGAGGAGAGCTAACTGATAAAGCTTGGTTGTGAGGCATGGGTATTAGTACCGCTAGCTCGACTCTGAATCGAGCTAAGCATATCAAAAGGATTGTAAGGGCTGCCTTGCTGCACTCAATAACAGCAAAAGCCTAGTGCTGGCAAACGGTCTACAGTACTCAACGAAGAACCACAACGTGGTATGGTGTAAGCTTTGTTGTTTGTCGTCGGCAAATCCAAAAGAAAATTAACATGTCACGAATCTCACTCAAGGGTTCACAGGATACAGGCAATTGAAATTATTGCAATGTATTCCACAAGGGTATCTAAGAATCGAATAATGACTAGTCAGAGGCAAATGCCACTGACATTTCCTCAGCCATGCGGCCACTTCACACAGCTGGCATCAGCTTAAGCCAAATGTTCAACTTAGGAGCACGCTCCCGGCATAAACCATTTAGCACTTGGCACCAGAGCCGGAGGGAATGCCGGAGCACTCCTTGGAGGTCTTGCCACCGGTGACGGAGACACCAGACCACTTCCAGTTGGAGCAGGCACCCTTGGCGCAAAGGATGTAGACGTTGGTACCCTTGGAAGCAACGGTGCCCTTGACGTTCTTGACGGTGACATCGGTGATGGGGATACCGGCGGTGGGCTTGCCAGTGGGGCTGCCGTTCTCGTAGTCCTGCTGGATGACGATACCCTTCTTGTTGATGTTCTTCAGGGTGATGTTCTCGAAAGTGATGCCCTTGACGGAGCCGGTCTTGTTGGCGATGGTCTTGATGCGGATACCGTTGTCGGCCTTCTCAATGGTGGAGTCGCGGATGACGATGTCCTTGACGGTGTTGGAGGTGCGGCCACCGACGGAGCCGATGGACAGACCGTGGGAGCCGTAGCAGTATCCCTTCTCGAAGGTGATCTTGGTGCCGGAGTTGATGGCCAGGCAGTCGTCCTGGTTGTAGACCTTGGCGCCGGAGATGAGGACGTTGGTGGACTGGCCGACGTCGAAGGCGTCGGTGTTGTGGCCACCCTTGGTGTCGCCGTCCTTGTTGTTGAACTCAACGTTGAGGACGTTGAGGTTGGTGACGCCGTTGATGGAGAAACCGTGGGCGGGGGTGTTCTTGACGTTCAGGCCGGAGATGGTACCGTCGTTGATCTTGACCTTGAAGAACTTGGGCTTCTTCTTGCCGCCGTTGCCTCCCTTGCCGTCCCACCAGCGCTCGCCCTGGCAGGAGATGGAGTGGCCGGAAGCACCGGTGACGGTGACCTTCTTACCGCCGACGGCGATGAGGGGGCCCTCCCACTCCTTGTAGCCGAAGGTGGTGGTACCCTTGAAGGTGACCTTGGTGCCGTCTTTCAGGCCGGTAAGGTCGAGGGTCTCACCGGCGGGGACCTTGATGCCGTTGAGGACGATGTCGGTGCAGGAAGTCTTCTTGGACATGGCCGTCTTAGCATCGGTGAAGGTGCAAGAGGCACGAGTGTCGAGCTCGGCGGGGGCGGCGGCGGCCAGGGCGCTGAAGCCCGCGATCATGGGAAGGAAGCGCATCGTTTCGGTTTTGGGGTTGTGGTCAACACAGTAACTTCAAATATGTACAGAAAAGTTGTTTCGAAAAAGAGAGACTGGGGTTGGTAAAAGAGTGTGGAAAAAAAAGAGTGAATGGAAGTGAGCTTGAAGAACACAATGGATTAACAGAAACAGTTCAGCGGAAGGTGAGCGGCGTGATCATATTTATAAAAGATTCAGCTCGATCAATCCTCAGCAATCTCTCTGCTTATTGTGCTCAAGTCATTCTTGTGGCATCCTTCGGATCATCGGCATCACCGCTGTCCACATCCCCGGTTCTCTAGGAGGAGACTGTGATTTCAAAATCCCGTTTAATCTTCAGCCGGAATCTCCTCCCCGTATGAGGATACCGCCGCTCCACTCTTAGAATGGTTCAAGCTTCAAATTCTGCACTCCTGCGGCACGAGCTAGTGGTAGTGTGTGGAGTGCAACTAGTGCACGTTGTTGGCAAACCGAGACGTGACGATGGGATGATGCCCGGTCCTTGGGACGAACACACACAGGGCTGACTGGACAAAAATTCCAAGAAGTCTGGCCAGCCGAGTGGATAATGGTGCTACAGAAACGAGAACGAAGAAGCTTGTTCGCCGTAGTTCTTTCGGTAGAGCCATTATGGCTCTCCCAAGACGCGTGGCCACAGCGAACAGCTTCCACTTCAGGCATTTCAAATGTCAATGGCATCTTGGCTTTCTTGGCTTAGGCTTAATCTGCCGATCTATCCGATCATGGACATGTTGTGACCCAGAAGTTCATGTTATTCTCCACTGATCTTTTGAGGCTCGCCCTGTGCGAAAAGGAGGTTTCCACTTTATTCCTTCAAAGACTCCAGCAGGGCTCCATCCGCATCGAAATAGGTAAATGATGGAGGGTCCAGGCTGAACGACTTTGATGTTGTCGGTGTTGATGGTTGAAATTGGTCTTGCCGAATCTTCTCCTTGCTTTTGGACATCTTTGATGAAGTTCTCGTCGGAGGCTTCGGCCTGCGAAGTGGTGTGATTAACCTTAAAAGCCCTAATTGAACAATATGGCGCTAAGTCATCCGACGAGCCGACTGGCCTTGTGGGGAACGAGGCTCTCTAAGCGGATATGGGCTGACGCGTAAAGTTGCCCTCGGTGGAGTGAGGCTCAAAAGAGGCGCGCATACCAGGTGCTCATCCCATTGGAAACCATATCGACATCAGGACCGTTTGTGTCAAGTTTAAACGAAGAGGGGCGATTACTGGAGGGAATAATACTTGCGGTCGGTCACTGAGAGTCCTTTCTACGGGATGTGGGAACCTCCCACTCGGTCTCGGATTCCCTGCCTGTTCTAACACCCTGTCTATTTAACCTGTGTTGCTGACTTATGCGGGCAACTAACGTTGGCTCTAACCCACTCGAGCACACTAGACATCTCACGGCGCAATTTCACCGGCAACTTACAACCGACTTGGTAGCTTATGCAGCGAGTTGCAGACCAAGTCTAGTCGCGGGAGTTAACATACTTGAAACATTCCGGTCGCTCAACACTTTAATTCGGCTCCGCATTACGCTAGGAGTAACGAGGCAAAATAAGCAATACGAATTGTGGTTCATTTTGTTATCTCCTTTCTGCTCGGGCAGTTACGGGTCTCATTACTAAAGGTGGCTCCGAAGTTCATCTTCCGTCCACTTCCACAGTTGTTCCCTCTTATTCTTGTCCTCACTAAGGCGGGTGCCCTTACCGCTCACACCGACTGGATGGTAAAAAGCACCGCTCTTGACGTCAGGGCTGAAGGAAGCCCACAGCTGGTTCAAAGCCCCCTTTTGCGGACTTACCGCCACCACTTTGGTCCCGAGGTACACTACCATCCCGATGAGGAAGTTGGAGTTATTGATGATGGACTCGGCGAGGTTGGTATCCACGACGCCTGGATGGACGCTAACCACTTTGATTTCTGGATTGCGCTCGGCAAGGGCTGCTGCATAGTGAATGTTCGCCACCTTGGAAATGCCGTAACGGAAACGACTCGCAGTCTCAGGCATTTTGGTCTTGAGCTTGTCAAGCTGGTACGTGTCTTTCGGGGCCCAGCCTTCCGCAGCAGAGGAGAGGAAGACAACCCTCACGTCCGGGTTCTCACTTGCTGTCTTTTTGAGAACCGGGAGTAACAGTTGCGTAAAGAGCGCGTGGCCCATGTGGTTTGTGCCAAACTGGATCTCGTATCCCTCCTTCGTGAGGCCATCAGGCGTCGCCATGATGCCAGCATTGTTGATGAGAAGATCGAGACGCTGGGAGGACTCATTGAATGTCCTGGCCGCGGCTTTGATACTTTCAAATGACGCGAGGTCAAGAGGAAGGTAAGTAATCGGTGAGACGCTGGCCCCCTCTTTTTTCAAATCTTCGATTGCTTTCTCCCCCTTTTCTTTCGAACGACCAGCCAGGTAGATGTGCGCCGGATTGTGCTTGGCGATTTGTCGAATCGTTTCCAGTCCGAGGCCAGAGTTGCCACCCGTGACCACAATCACTTTCCCGGTCAAATCAGGGATGTCTTTATCCGGGTTGAAGTTGTAACCTCCCATCAAGAATGCCGTCGCCATTTTGTTCAGCGTAGTCAGCGTAGTTGTATCAAATTTTCAATTTCTATGAGATGTCGATGTCGATCACGGCCAGGAAGAATGTCACAAAAGCCAAGCGCGTGTCTTATACGTGATCTTGACAAAGTTTGACGTTTCATGACACGCGCCCGACCGTCCCGGCGTTCAATGTCTGTTCCCTAGCAAAACCGGTCGCAGAATGGTGTTTGCAGTTTCAGGGACTAGGGCCCCCCGCCTCAAGTTTCGCTCAGGGCATCTTAACGTTTGGCGGCGGGCTTCCAATCCATTTCATAGGACCGCCTCAGAAGTTTTGACTTCCCGAGGCATCGGATTTCAGGGTCTGACTTAATATCCACAGTGGACTGCCGTCTGTTGGATTCAGGACGCTTGCTCACACGTTCGGCTCGGACGAGATCAACAGTCCGCAGTAGAAACCCTCCATAAGCAGGAGTATGGCTTCCAGTAAGAATAACTTAGAGTTTGACGCCTGTGATCATACGCGTGTCTCCTCTTACCCGTGCCCAAGAAGCCTGCGGGGTATTCTTGGCACAAAGTCTAATGTCTTGCGTCTTCGCTGATTGCAACCCACCTTCTAGGATACATCGTGTTCATACCCAGCGATTATTTTCACCTTTTGTTTGCCATGTTAGTTAGGATAAATGACTCCTTCGTCAGTTCCAGTCTGCTGCAAAACGGGCAGTCATACTATCAATTCTTGCACTGAGGGTCATCACGCGAAAGTAAATATCTATACCTCTGCCAGGATTAAATAGGTTAGTGCTGTCCAACGTTAATTCTTCGAGGTGTCTGACATTTGGTTTTATCAAGGATCTGTAAGACAACCTGGTAGGAAATATTCATAAGTTACATTGTCGTGACGAAGGTCTCCGTATTTTTGAGCCTTGGTATTGTCTTTCTAGCCTAGTTTCCTATGGTAAACAATCTCTAGAAAATATTAGCCATTCAAAGCTTTCAGCGTCAATAAGTAGACTAAATCACAACTACCTAGGTAAACTATTTAATCCTTGCAGAGGTATACGAGAGGCATAATTCTAGGTGGAAGTACATTATCCTATGACTGCATGCTCAGTAGAAAAACTCACCTAAAGTCTAATTTTATACAGAGTGAACATGATCTATATACATCATCAATTCATAGCTAGCTTCATAACCACCCTGCTGCTCAGTACAGTTCTAATTCATCATCTCTGACGTTGCACACAGAACATCACGTCCGGTGTCCCTCCTAGGCCTCATGCGCTTGCATTCAGTCCTCTTAAAGAACCACTTACCTTAACTTAACGTTCCTCTTCTTTCCCATATCCTCATCCTCATCCGAGGAGGACAACAGTGCCTCATCTTCTAGAACCCAATCATCTAATGCCACATCCTCTGCCTGTAGTCTTTGGTACTTTCTTCTCCTGTATCTCCGAACGCCAAGCACAATGCCCACAACTGTACCAGATAAAACGACTATTATCGTTCCTAAAGAAACCCACTTTCTCCATCCCCTTATACAACACGGATACCATGCCATGAAGACGCCCACGCCCCACTCCTTCCACCCAATTCTTCGTCTCTGTTCTGGCTTAAGTCCTTTTCTCAATAGTTGCTTATGCCGAGGACCAGTTGGTCCGGATTCGTAGCGTTTGAGCCCAAAGTGTGGGACTGTCTCCTGGCGGGAATCTGAGTCGGGCCATCTAATGTCGCCCCAGCGTCCAGTATAATAGAAGAAGGATGTGAAGTTGGAAGCGGGTGATGCAGGGGGCGACTGGCCAGGAGGTTCTATCCTAGTCAATGTGAAACTGTCGGCGTCGAGGCGGTAGAAGTAGGCCGAGAGGATAGGATCCCACTTTTGACCCGCGTCGCAGTAGTCAACTAGGACTATGTTGTGGAGTTGGTTCCTATGTGTCTAACGTTAGAACCGATATCTGTCGCGTTAGTCTCCTAGGCAATTGAAACTGAACTTACCCTGGAGCGACATAATTGGCGTGGGATCCAAGAGCGCTGTAGACAATAGGCTATTCAAGCGTCAGAAATATACAACCTGACGATTAATATCACGGTCTTAACGCACCCTTCCGTCGGTTTTTGTGATTTTCGGATCATTCCACTTATAGCCTGCACCGCCGTCATGTTGACTGTAGTAGATTCCCACAGGCTTTCCATCCCGAAAACGAACCATGTTGTGCTCCCTGCAAGAAAATGTCAGATGTATGCCCAACATAGTGCATAGAATTTGGTATACCAATCTCCAACGTGATCTCCGAAATGCATCCCCGACGCCACCTTACCGCCTTTCACTAGACGATTGAGAGGTTCAAGTACTTGAGTAATATTCGGGCCCTCATTGAAAGAGTAAAAATAAAAGTAAAACGCGTCCATGTCACGCTTGCTCTTCTCTACCAGAATCACAACGCACGGCGTGGCATTGTGAATGCGGCCGTCCTCGTCCGGTGCTTCGCCGTGAAACCATGGTGGGTATGTGGTGGGATCATCATTGGAGGCGAGTGCAACATCTTCCCCATACTTATTGAGAATCTCCAAGTTGTCTAGATCAAGTGGGGGAAGATCATGGATCGGCTGTCCATCAAGCACCGGCGTGGTGTGGCGGATGTGCGTAAGAAGGTCGCTAGGCTTATAAGAATCTTCCGAATGCAGCCATACCAGCGGTGCTAGAATTCAGTGTTAGATCCCACACAGTCTTCTGCATCTTTATTTTTTCATGATGCTCATGTGGTGACGTACCATGACGCGCCACATAATCCGGGCACCGAGCCTCCGGCTCCGTCTCCGGCCCCGCCCGGGCGGGAAACGCGAGTAAAAACCCGACAAAGTAGAACAGAAATCCGGACATCGATACCTGCATGTGAGCGGAAGGCAAGCCACCCATTTTCTGTACGCGGAACTTTCGTGATAGCAACAACTTTTGGGTAAGCTCGAAGGGGGAAACTTGTCGTGTGCAGCCTAGCTAAACAAAAGGTCCAATCGCGGCGCTTTGTCAGCGTCAGCAGTCGGTATCTTCGGGGTGCGTTTGTCTCCATCGGAAGACTCGGATTGGACTCTTGGTAGCTTGGCCCTCTTATTCTTGCATTTCCAAGATGCACGTTCATTCCCCACCAATTACGGATACTTTTTTTTTTATGTTTTTCTCTATATTTTACTCCACTTGTTTGCCGTCCGGCGGCCGAGGCGCATTTTCTTGCTCTTTTTATCATAGTGCATGATTTTCGATCGGTGATAACGGCGGACCCATGTACAGAGTAAATGGATGCAGAGCCATGTCTGCCAGACTGCATGCAATTAGGTCATGAGGATGAGACCGTCTTTGCTCCCCGCTAGTTCTCCTCGGACGGAAGAGAGGCCGGCCGCCAATTATCTCTTTCCATCCCGTGGGTTTGAGTCATCTTCGCGTACCCCTAACTGGAATGCTTTGTCGTACGATACACAGAGGGTGCATGAGATGGTTGGTAGGGTGACATTCACAAAGGGAGCCGCTTCAAGAAGGGCTATTATTCGATGAGACGCATCGTGATTTGAACAGCCTAATGTGTAGACAGAGACATTAGATCTCGAACCCGTGCAAGCAAAACGATAGATCTAACGGCCCAACCCTTGCGACAGCTTATTGAGCCACTTAATATGCGCGGTAAATCATTTGTGGACACCAGCTGGAGTCTGAACATGGCTTCTCTCACCATTCCCTGTACTCCTCGTCCTCAGAAAGCCCAACGAGGATCTTTTCCATCCAGAGGAGGAGGCTTACGATCTGGGGGAGTTCCTGCGGAGAAACCCCATGGGAATATCGAACAACTTCAGCTTAGGACCGACTGTTAAATGGCGGGGGCTAACGTGATCAGACCCCTGCGTGCCGCCTCCAGATTCCTTGGGCGTTTTCGCGGGGTGCGCCACCTACGTATCATGACCCCAACGTGGTAGCAATCGTCATCTCCTTCCATCCCTTCTACAAACCGCTGCTGGTAATCATTCGCGAGGTGCGCATACTTCTCGGTACTTTAGACAGCTAAGACAGCTAAGAATACTAAGCTTCCCCAAGCTCCCTAAGCTTTCTCTTGTCAGGGGGTGCAATCCAACGGCCATGCAACCAACCAGCCTAAGCATTAGTACACCATCAGATGGCGATACAGACAGGCCATTGCAACATAAGCTGCATGGTAGACAGACGGCGACCCCGCAGCTACCAGCATTAGATAGGGTCTGGCTCATGAAAAAGGCAGGCAAAGGCAAGTATGCCTCATTGTTTCCATAGCCGAATGCATGTTTCTTTTTGTGATGGGTGTACCTCATACGACTCTATTCCTCGACACCCCCGGTAGCTTGCTCACCCGACGCCCGCCCACTTCGAGGTACAGGTGAGGACATGTCATAGATGAGACAGAATTCCCTGCGCGTCAAGAGAACGGCCGACGGGGTCCAGTCAGGCATGCAGGAGGCAGGCAATATGGTTATTTAATCTGATCACCCCCCTCCAGCTCTTCGCGGGTGCAGATGAGACGACCCTCTCTTTGCTAGGACATGTCTTTTTCATTGGGCTTGTGAGACCCCTCTAACACGCTTTACTGCCGATACTGCCCGCGCTTCGCATATTCATCCTTCAGCTATCCTTATTCACTGACGAGCTGTCACGATGGCAGACGGAGAGAAGAGGGTCGACACAGAGTCACCGTAAGTGATGGAACAGTGTTGTACCACTCCCAGCTTCCTCAACATCTCACTTACCCGAACCATAGGGTCCACAAGGACGGTGTCATCCACCAAGATGACGCGGCGAGAAAGAAGAGTATCGCCGAGCTCACTCAGAACCTCGAGGGCGAAATTCGCAACCCGCTCAAAGGAATTCCCAAAGCACAGCTTCTCGAGCAGGTTGCCACCTACCAAAAGGCGCAGAACTTGCCGGATGATATCCTCCCACTCCTCCAGAAGGGCGCCTTGGTTGCACAAAACCCAGCTCTATTCGAGACCATGGAAGAGCTCGACGAGAGCGAAAAGGTAGCTCTCAGGGAGGAAATTACCCACAGATGGAAACATCCATGGCCTCTTTACTACACCATCATCCTCAACTCTATCGCTGCCGCAATCCAGGGGTGGGATCAGGTAAGTCTTTGCTTCCCATAGGTTAACATCACCTTCCAGACAATTAGGCTAAGACTTAACATAGACCGGTTCCAATGGCGCCAATTTGGCCTTCCCCGTCGCTCTCGGTATCCCCGACTCTGCTGGTTCTTCCTGCGGCCCTGTCGCAAACGAGGGGGACTGCGCAAAGAACAGTTGGATCATTGGCTTCGTTAACGCCATGCCCTACATCACCATCTGTCTTTTGTGAGTATCGAAGCATTTATCTAGTTATAGATATTGAGCTAACCGCTGTGCTATAGTGCCGGCTGGGTCTCTGACCCCCTGAACGAACTCTTGGGCCGTCGTGGTGTCATCTTTGTCGCTGCCATCTTTTCTCTGCTCGCCCCCTTTGGTATGGCTGTATCTCAGACATGGGGCCAACTCGCAGCGTGCAGGTAAGTTCTCCCAAAGTTGGTCAAGAGTGCGAATAAAATTCTCACATACATCGACAGAATGCTTCTTGGCATCGGTATGGGCTTGAAGGAAGTTACTGTTCCAGTCTTCTCCGCCGAAAACTCACCAACCTTGATTCGTGGTGGTCTTGTTATGTCGTGGCAGGTTTGGACAGCCTTTGGTAAATAGCCCCCGATAAAGTTAACCACTGATCGCCCTGATGTTTCAACAATGACTGACATTCTGCTCCCGAAAACGAACAGGCATCTTCCTGGGCACATGCGCGAACCTTGCTGTCGGCAAGACTGGAGACATCGCCTGGCGCCTCCAGTTTGGCTCTGCCTTCATCCCTGCCGTGCCTCTTGTGATTGGCACATACTTTTGCCCTGAAAGTCCCCGTTGGTACCTGAAGAAAGGCAAGACCATCAGTGCCTGGAAGTCACTTCTGAAATTGCGCAACACACCTCTCCAAGCGGCTCGTGATCTTTACTACATTCATGCGCTCTTGGAGGATGAGGTTGCTCTCGTCAAGGAGGCTGGCCTCAAGACCACCAACAACATGGTTACTCGCTTCATTGAACTCTTCACGATTCCTCGTATCAGACGTGCGACTTGGGCGTCTGGTATCGTCATGATTGCACAGCAGATGTGTGGAAGTGAGTGCTGATCCACGTGTACCTTTGAGAGTGCTTGCTGACATTTCTCCGCGCTAGTCAACATCATATCATTCTACAGCGCTACAATCTTCAAGGAGAGCGGTATCAGCGATTACACTGCACTGTGGGCTAGTTTCGGCTTTGGTCTCATCAACTTCGTCTTTGCATGGCCCGCTGTGTGGACGATCGACACCTTTGGCCGCAGAACGCTCTTGTTGTTCACTTTCCCTAACATGTTCTGGACTCTACTTGGTGAGTGAACCCCATTGGCGCAATACAAACTAGACTAGAGTATACTGATATGTTGATAGCCGCCGGTCTCTGCTATCTCATCGAAAAAGACGTCGAGAGCAGCCAAGCTCGTATCGCGGCGGTTGCAACCTTTGTGTACTTGTTCGCCGCCTTTTACTCTCCCGGTGAGGGCCCTGTGCCCTTTATGTACTCTGCAGAAGTCTTCCCGCTGTCTCACCGTGAGATTGGAATGTCGTGGGCCGTGGCGACCAACAACTTCTGGGGCTCCATTCTGTCTCTCACTTTCCCTCGCATGTTGATCGCTATGACTGCAACTGGCGCATTTTCTTTCTATGCTGGACTGAACTTGGTCGCTTTAGCGTTGATCTTTTTATTTGTCCCTGAGACTAAACAGAAGTCACTCGAAGAACTCGACTATGTTTTCGGCGTGCCTGACCGGAAACATGCATCTTACCAACTGTTTACGGTGTTGCCATGGTGGACTAGACGCTGGATCTTCCAGAGAAAGGGTGAGGTTTGCCCACCTCTGTACCATGACGAGAACACCGAGAACCGCAACGGCGAGGAATGATCAAGCTCTAAACTCCAAGTCTTGGACGCGGGTTACATCGCCCTTAGAGACTTCCAGTGTACGGACGCTGAAAGTCTAGATTTGGCCAGCTGCATTTATGTTGGACGTAATCAATGCGCTGAGGTCGTGATTCGGGTCTCTCGACTTTTAGATCTGATTTGGTCGTTCGTTTGATACCCTTGATGATTGGACTGGACTATTACTTTCTTCACAGACATGTGTGTGCCTCTTTTAATGAATCACATTTGAGAATACCAATATCACAGATGGCGAGTCAAACTCGTTAGTATTGCGCGTATCTACACATTAATTAATTACGCTCTGTGATGCTACTATCTTCTAGCTCCATCCGCATCGTCAACATCCTCTTGGCTCCGCAACTGTCTGATGCCAGTGTATCGCCAATTAGAAATGTACGTCTCAAACGCCTGCTCGCCATGCTTGCCATTGGAGGTTGCATAAACACCAAGCGCAACACCTAGTCACCTGTTAATATCTATCTCAAAAGCCGCGGGTGTTTTAGACTTACCGGAATAGTATGGAACAAGCTCGGTGCCCTTGCAGTGACCAAACACTCTCAATTCAGAGCCCTCTCCAGCTCCAGCAAGGCCAGCAGAGAAAGCAAAGTGCGTACTGTTAACCGCTTCTATTTGCAGAGATATCTTCTGCCCCGCCCACCCCTCAGGCAGCGGGAACACTTCGTTCGGAGGATGTTCCGTTGCGCGATACGGTGTCTCAGAGATACCGCGGAAGCGAAGATGAGGTCGAAGGTCCTCGCTCCCGTCGGGCTTGAGCATCACGATACCCAAGTCAAAATGCTGAGCCTGATCTTGGATAATCGAGACACCAACTTCCATTTCTTGCTTCGTAAGAGACTTAGCCCAGTCAATGTCGACCTGAAATCGGAACAGCGAGTGCGCCATCCGACGTCCAACGAATGTTTGCCCCCGCCCAAGAGCAAAGTCTGCGTCGAAGGCGGTGAGATTGAGAACCGATGACTTAAGCGCTAACGTGTTCCAGTGCCCAGGGGGTGATACGGCATAGTTTCTTGCCTTGGGAAGTCGCCAGTGAACAAAGTGGATAGGAAGCTTGCTTCCAGGGGGAAAGGTGATGGCGTCGTCGGCATCGCTAAGCTGGCCTTCGCCTTCTTCTACAAAGTCTTCGGGTGGAAGAGGCCAACCGGAGACATTCCCGGTTACCGGAGTAAAAACCGGGAATTCACCCTCTTCCCAGGTAACGGGAGTTAAGACAGTCTCTCGCCCCATCGGCAAGTTGCCGAAATAAGCGCCGGGATCTTGACCGTAGGTGCCTCCAGCGCGAACAGCCAGTGCAACAGACCACCACTGACCTTTGGCATCCTGGAAGAGATCTGCATGGCCGACGGCTTGGAAGTACGAGCTAGTATCGTTTGCCGAAGTCAAGAGTGGGTTCCCGGGAGCGGGATCGTAAGGGCCTGACAAGTTTCGAGATCGAGCCATCGTCACCATATGGTTCTCCCGCGTGCCTCCCTCCGCAAGAAGAAGGTAGTAATATCCATCTCGCTTCCAGATGTGAGGTGCTTCGGGAGAACGACCGCCAGTTCCGTTCCAAGGCATGATTATCTCCCCAATCTCGCCGGTTTCCAAGTCCAGTGGCGCGTGCATTATGCCAGGGTAGTAAGCTGCCGTATGAGCGCCGGAGACGTAAGTCTTTCCATCGTCGTCCCAGAATGGCGAAGGGTCAAAGCCGGGGAAGCTGAAGTGGACAGGGTCGGACCAAGCATCGGAACTGTAGGGGTCCGTCGCAGTAAGCACAAAATTATCCCATCGGCTGTCGTTGGTCCTCGGCAATTGTTGGTTCACAAGAGTGCAGAGCAAGTAGAATGTGCCCTGATGGAAGCGTAGGGTCGGTGCGTAGATACCGCTGGTAGCTTTGGGCAGAAAAGCCATGCCAGGGAGTTGGTCTGCCCTGCTAAAGGCGTTGGATACATGTTTCCAGTGAATTAGGTCCCGACTTGCGTGGATTGGGAGTCCAGGGAAGGCCAGAAAGCTGGATGTTGCGCAAAAGAAGGTGTTGTTGAACTCGGGAACAAAGATACAGCTTGGGTCTGGGTTGAAACCGCTGATAATGGGATTCTGGAACGTTGAGTTCTGTGCCTGGCCGACTCCGAAGAGCGCCAGGGCCGAAACCAGGAGACCGGCTCTCATTGCGAGCAAGAATGAGAACTGTTATCTCCACAAGGTGCTTCTTTTCCCTGGAAAGGTTCTCCCTCTGTTTTTTACAGTTTTGTGGCCAAAACATTCTAGCCTTTTACATACTTTTGCGATCCCAGCGACCCGTGTAGCCACCAGACAACCCCGCAAAAGTTGATGGAAAACCTGCATTGTATGAGCTCTGGAGGCCCACAACTGACGAGAATCATTGATCATCGGAAGACCGGGCATGAGATTACGGATCGGCGAAGTCGCGGTGCAGCGCTTTTCCGAGCCCCGGTGGCCTTGCGAATCCCGATCGGGGGAATTTGAGTTTAGCCTGAATAGCCATCTACCGATCTTGTCCAGCTTGGGCGGTCCCTAAAATGCGGGGAAGATGCAGGATCACAGGGCCAAGGCCTACGAAGTTGGAGAGTTGACGCATATCCGTCAGTTTTTCGGTAGATAAGGAGACGAGGTAGTGCGAATGCGGGCTGGATTGCTTGCATATCCGTTGCCACCATTGCCCTACGAGACCGTTGTGAATTTGAAATGTGAGTGCATCTTGCTCGGAGGCACCTTTGCAAGAGATGACCCACGTCTACGACCGTCTTTGCCGTCGGATATTTTTGAACGAGAACTGCCTTCTTCCATTCCATTCCCTTTGAGGTTTCAAATCCTTCCTGATTGAAAATCCTCTCTGCACTGCTTTAGAGTCCTTCTCTGCTTGCCTTGCTCATCAAAGTTCTCCTCACTCAACCAGGTCTCTAATCCACCCTTGACAACAGGCCACTCTTCATCTGTAATGCTTAACCAGGCCGTATCTCTGAGCCTGCCCTTGATGATCATGTGTTTCCTAGAATGCATCAGCCAAGTTCTCGTACCATTGACTCAATTCGACCATTTCTTACCGAAAGATACCCTCGAATACAAATCCAAGTCGTTCTGCGGCCGCTAGACTCGGCTTGTTGAGATTGTTGGCTTTCCATTCGACTCTATGATAACCAAGGTTGTCGAAAGCCTCCTTCATGAGGAGGTAGAAAGTCTCTGTTGCTTGTCGAGTTCGTTTAAGCTTTTCCCCGAAGCAGATGGAGCCAATCTCAATGCGCCTGTGTTCGGGCACGATCGACATGAGGGTCATGAACCCAAGTGGCTCAGCCGTAGAGTCTGATATCGGGCCTGACATGACGGTGAAGAACAAAGGGTCCTTGGAGGTGCTGCAGTTTGCTATATGAGCCTCAAACTTTCCATATTCGAGAAACGGTTCTTGGAATAGGTATGTCCAGAGGTGAGCGTTTTCCTCTCCTCCAAGGTGTTTGTATAGGGGCTTCGCGTCTTCAGGCTGGGTGGGAATGAGGGCCGTATAACGTCCTTCGAGTGTATTCCGTACCGGAACGATGGCCGGCCGGTCCGAAAGCACTTCAGGGCCAATCGATTGCTCCATCGTATCGAACTTGGAATACAATAAAGATCAATGAAGAACGTTGAGTTTGTGAGCTGTATAATTTAAAGTGCTGTAGAGATTGCTAGTTGTGATAAAGGTATTAATACCATCAAGGCCCAAAGGTGAAATGACTCACTCGGAAGCCTTCCGAGAGGATCTTTAGTTGAATGTGTTACCGTACCCGTAAACTTGATCTTAGCTTAGCATTAGGAGCAAGTGGGTCATTGATTGGTCACTGACCATATAATGAAGAACCCGAAAACGAATATTTTTTAGAGTATGCTGTGTTATCTTTTTGTTGATGACTATTACCTAGTAACCTGGAAAGGGCGTAACTGACGAGATGGTAAACTCCACCCACTACAATCACGCCAATTACGCCGAGGTGACTCCACTGCGCTTAAATAAACTAATCTGATTCGTTAAGCCATGTCATTTAGAGACTCCCGCCTGTTTAGGTCAGGTATACTACATTGAAATGCCATTCATTCCAATACCGATCAAGACCTAAATACCAACTTACAACCTTGTAGACAAATTTGTTTATTTTCTTTCCCCTTTTGAAATGGCTGCTTTCAGAGCGCAACGCGCGCCTAGTCAGAAAGCGTCGGGCTTCTTACCTCAGAAGCCTATGCACAATCTCTCGACGGAGCAAGGAACTAAAACTGACACCTTAAGCAAAAAACAAAATGTATGAAAAGGTCAGAACCGCTCATTATTTTTCCAGGATGATTGGACTTCCTTGAGGCTTTTTTGAAACTTGACTTTAAGGGACAGCGTAGCATGCGAAAATATCCCGGACTTCCAAGAAAGATAACATACGAAGCTTAAGGACAAGAAGTGGAGGACAAGTCTTGCCGTTAGATGTTAGGGCTACTGGTATGGCTTGCACAGTGAATACATGCATGACTCTTGGAAGCTGTGTGCGGCTCGGCCAAGTTGAGCTCACTTTACACGAATGATAGGAAGGCGGGATGGCCAGGACCATTCCCTTCACCGCTGTGAAGAACATGTGGTATTTATACACATATACATACAGACGCATGCAGTCAATACAACAGAGTCAACCGTCCCGCACTAGTCAGTGTGGCCTTCCTCTAGATTAAGTGTCGCACGTTTTCGCAGCTTTTTCTTCAGGTCATCTGAGCCCAGACTTGCCGCCAACTGTCCCGCAGGAATTAGCTGGGAAAAAGCAGAAATAAAACTTAAAGCGGCACTGGCTTGCCAGCTCCATCCATAGACAAAGACTGACGCAGTAGTTGCCGAAGAACTAACGACCAATGATGACCGAAACCAGAAGTTGGCGATGGACGCCTTGACCTCGTTGTTTTGCATGACAGCATATATGGTGCAGTACATGGAGAGTATGTGTAAGAAAACCTGACACAGAAGTACCCAGAAGCCATCATCTGAACGGAGTGTTCGAGGTTGCGGATTGCATATAGGCTCTCGAACTTGGGACAACGCCATGGCGATCATGGCCCCGCCGAGCGCGAAGAATACCGCGAACATTACTACCAATGTTGTCTGATGGAAAGTATATCCCCGTAGATGAGAAAGAACACTATTTTGTTGATGGGGCTTCGCGTAAGCAACTGCAACTGCGGCTAGATCCAAATCTGCGCTAGGCGCTAGTATATTCTGTTCACCATTTCCGACTGTTAGTGGAACTTCATACACGGAATTGCGAGCCGAGCCGTTCCAAGATTGAGTATCTTGGCTAGAAGGGGGTTTCGGGATGTTTAATGAGTTAGAGTGAAGCTCGTACGCGTTCCCTAAATGGTTTCTCTGTCGGAGGTCTATCGTGGAATTTCTGCGAATGTTAATTGTCAGCATGAATCTTAGGTTTTGGATGCTGAAAACACAACTCGAGACTTCAAGCCGCCCGGAAATGCCATGACGTACCTTGAGATACCAGTCGAGGCGACTCCGGAGCTTTGTAGCAGCGTTGTTGCGTTACTACCCTTGAGCTCGAAATCTTGTTGAGGTATACAACTGAGAAGGTCTTTTGCATAGGCTGTTGAGGTCATTGCTGCGTAGCCGTACCAAAGGCGCCGGGGATGGGAATCCGAGTAATCGCATATACCACGGATGACCAAGCACGGTAAATAACCCATCACACCAGCAGATCCAATGTCAAAACACAAGACGTCTTTTTGAGAGGCAAGCTTGTCCCTGAGATGTCCATCTTTGACCACCTGGCTTGCTGAGGCTATTATACCGTGATGTACAGAAGGGTCGTCTGTGTTTTCATCTCGCCTTAGTCGGAGAATCAAATTGGTGGGGTCGGCAGGGCACCAAGAACAGTTGGAATTTTGTGAGTTGTCGTCATGAATGATATCTGATCTGAACAGAAAATCATCATCTGATTGCTTCTGGTATCTTTGTCTGAGCTTTGGGAATCTTGTCAACACTTCTTCGATGGATTCTTGTAGCTGATGTCCATCTCGTTCGTATCTGTCTTTGAGTCTATCCACAGCGAGCTGCAGAAACGCTGGTGGCTCTTTTACGCGTCCAGTCGAATAGAATGGCTGGTTTTGTATACTTTTGCCCTTGTCATATTGGAAAACACCGCCTGGTTTGCCACTGCTCCCCCGGGAACCAACCACAACGTCGCCCAAACGAATATCGTGAACAAGACTTGGCGCTCCTCCAGCTATGCCGACCATCAGTATGAACTTGATGTTGCGAAAGATGTTCTTTAAGTTTGTTGCAACTATAGCCGAGCCCGCCACCCCAAGCTCCCCAGTTGGTATACAAGCGATGACGACGTTGTGATTTCCAATCTTGCCACAAGTATACTCTAAGTTATTCACCGGCTCGAGGTTTTCTATACGGTCCAGAAAGGCTGTAGCAGCAACGTACTCTAGCCTAATGTTAGATATCCAGCCAACTGTGTATTTATCGATATCAGCCATGGTTGCTGTTCGGGGGTTGTTGTCGATCGTTGCACTGGTCTTAAGCCGGCTCGTTTTTGATGGGAGGCTTGTGCCGCAAATATCGGGTCGTTAATGAGGCAATAATGTGGAAGTGGAAGGCAGGCAAGGCGAGAAAAGCTTCAGCTCGATTCTTTTAAAGACTTTGATGTCAAGCGCCAGCAGGAAACCCTGACGGGGGGTGCTATCGAAGGGGTTTGTAACCAAGAAATAGTAGCTGTCAATGGCAGCCTACTTTTGCCAGCCTGATGTGGCGGAGTCACTACCTGGGCGCTTACAGTTACCCTACTATTGGTTACTTGATACATCGACAAGTCAATTGGAAGCTCAGCGCCAGGTAGCCAATAAAAACCGTTTTCGTACACAGCCAGGGGAGAGATATGGTAAAGCAACGCGGCTGAGACCTACTCAAGGAGAGCGGTGCCAACAGGGCATTATCAATAGAAGAAAGTTGACTGGCAGAGAGCACCGGTGGAGCAGTAACGCAGCATGGTGAAAAGCAGACGCCTCTAACAGCGAAAACACTCATAATGTCACTATTGATCTCAACGCGCTCTGGAAAAATCATTTATGGAAGCCTTTTAATAACCAGTTTTTAATTATACTAAGTAAGAAGTATTTTTACTGAAATATCTTTAAAGTAGTTGATCTGAACAATGTCTGATTGACTTCAAACTTACTATCGCTAGAAATACTATAAGAACAACGATGCGTTGCATTTTACGCAGGAGATGATGTACTTGAAGATTACGGCCCCAAGGTGCCGCGGGTGCTGGGGTTGAATGATAAAGGGTGATATTGTCGCAACAACCAGAATATGTTAGAAGGCTACCAAAGACAATAGGATGACCAAGATAAGGGCACATTGTCCAAGCAAGGAATCTGCTTTAGCCATATCTCATCATCAAACTGAAACTTCTGACGCACACCTGATAGGACCACTACTTCTATCAGACGTCCTCATATCTCGTCCGAACGTGTGTACTTAGGGGCGAACCACATAGCCCAAGCCTTTTTTGGGCGCCTTGCCCTAGGTAAGTAGTCTAATATCACTCACTGATTGCAAACGGATAATTTTTAATTAAATGATGGAAAATTCTAAGTTCAAAAGCTAATGCATAAGTACCCGACCAGGAAGCGGGAAAGTGACATCCCAAACATTTAATTATTGAAAACTCAGAGTTTCGGTCCGGAGTCTAACGCAACCCCGAAGGGTGCCGCCCACAAAACATATTATTCATCATCGTTTTCTGAAGCCGGCATGGAGTTTGGAAGATGCGATGGCGTCTGAAGGCAAATATCTATGTACCGTATCCAAGGGGAGGCGCTGACCCCGGCCCTTCTGTTTGTTCTAAGGAGTGGAATCACCCACGCTTCCTCGAAATATCGCAACAGAAGGATCCAGATGGCCTTCTCCCCCTTTTCAACGGCACCGACGTAACCAATTCATTCCATTTGAACCCCGAAACTTCTCTTAGAAGTAATGATTTCTTGGGAATTCATCAACACAGTATGTGGCCCCGATGAAGAGAATCGAACCGGCGGCTGCTGGCTATCTCATTCTTGATAATATCAAGCATCTGAGGGGGTCATCTTTTTGCAAATGCGAGTGCTGCTTGTGGTTTTTATACTCTTTTGAGATTTTTGTACATTCTACTCTTCAGGTCGCTGTTCATAGCAAATGGTGGAGCCAAGTTTTAACTTCACTGATAACTTGGTAGATCGGTGTGCGCGAGTGGCAATGTATGGCTAAAGAGACCAAGTGCTTTGAACTATGGATGCATCGAACCTTCAACAGAAGAATTAGCACCATCCATACACCCGAATAAGCTTGACCAAAACTCCTGCCACGGCAGCAGTCAAAAGAGGAGACAAGCTTTTGCGTTTCCATGTGAAGAGGGTTAGACTGTGCTGCTTCTTGGGATATGCCTGGACCAGGCTGGGCTACTGCCCACAACACAACTTCCGGCGGTGATGATTCAAGCACATACCTCAAAGGTGATCCCAGGCACTCTGTGCAAACAACAGCCCGGTGAAGTTATAGAATTCATTGTTACATTGATTTTTAAATTATCCTCGTGAAGTGTCCTCCCAGTGAGCATTATTACGGCTCATAAAGTTTGAAGTTTTGAGACTTGTAGTTTGCTTGAATAACGCCAATGTCTGATTTCATTGAATAGCTCCATCGGCTTGATGCAGCGTAAAGTACGTGATACAGCATGAACCATAGGAACTACAGCTCGGGATATATCACTCTGCAATGACAAGTTTCTGAGATTACTTACAGTCCACCCCTTATTAAACCACTCCCTCCTGTCTAAGTACAAACCAAGCACAGCGGCCATTGGCCCTTTCGTCAGAAACTGTATTAATGGAAGTTTTCCTGCCCAGTCCCTTACCAGGCTGTTGGAATCTCATGCCCAGCACCGCTTGCCGGCCTGCCAAGTTCTCGCCAGCCTAAGGAGCTTCCCACTATCCTTACGTTATCACTTACTTTGCTGCAGCTGTTCTCTCGCCGACCATTCAATATTTGTTTGATTCTTTACACATCTCCAAAAGGAGAACGAAAGGAAGCCCTTTGTGACAGTAATCGTCCCGTTGGCACCAATATCTCTTCTGTCTATTGGATATGACAAAACGAAATTCGGTGTACCGGTAGCCAAACCACAAGGCAGCCAATCAGTGATTATTGCATCGGAATGCGACCTGATGCCCAATAGAAATGGTTCTGCGGAAGAGAGCATCAGCTCGCCCCAAACGTGCATGTCAGCTGAGCGCTTATCATGTAAGGCTCGGAGTGCCTCGCGCGTCATTAAACTTGCCCCTCTTTCTCTACTTCTCGTCTTTCCCTCGAACGCACCTCGATCGCCCGAGGCGTTGACAGTCCTTCCTTCCAACTGCACTCAGCTTCGATCACCCTAAGACTCGGAATGAGGAAGTTTCTTCTGAGATCGAATCTCCAGCATGTCGGATCCATCCAAGTACACCATCGGTTGGATATGTGCTCTCACCGTGGAATATGTCGCGGCGCAAGTCTTCCTCGACGAAACCCACGAACCGCCTGTAGCCATATCTGCCCATGATAACAACAACTACACGCTTGGCCGAATGGGCAAACACAACATCGTCGTTGCAGTATTACCTGACGGTGAATACGGTCTCTCCTCCGCGGCCGCAGTCGCACGAGATTTGCTACACTCCTTCCCCAACGTCCGCATTGGTCTTCTGGTTGGCGTTTGCGGTGGTGCGCCGACTCCCCAGAATGACATTCGTCTAGGCGATGTCGTAGTCAGCTCTCCTCGCAACGGTGAAGGCGGTGTCCTGCAGTACGATTTCGGCAAGTCAATCCAAAGTCAAGAATTTACATTGACTGGCTACCTTAATAAGCCGCCTGCGGTTCTTCTAGCAGCTGTGAGCGGATTGAGGGCCGAATTTGAACAGAATGGAACCAATTTTGACCATATTATCGATGCTGCTCTCGCAAACAAGACACGGTTAAGGAGAAAATATAGCCGACCTTCTCCCTTAAAGGACAGGCTGTTTCATAGCCATGTTATCTTTGATGCAAGCGGTTCGCCGGCGAAAGCAAGCCCAGAACAGTTGGTTCCACGATTGAAGCGTTCTGAAGATGACGACAATCCAGCCATCCACTATGGATTGATTGCGTCCGCCAATAACCTGATGAAGGATGCAGTTATTCGAGACAAGTTTGCATCAGATAAAAAGGTTCTGTGCTTCGAAATGGAGGCTGCCGGGCTAATGAACCACTTCCCATGTCTCGTCATCCGAGGAATCTGTGACTATTCAGACTCGCACAAAAATGATGACTGGCAAGGATACGCAGCAATGACGGCAGCTGCATACGCAAAAGCTTTAGTGTGCAAGATACATCGAACCAGACTAGAGAATGAGAAAAAAGCTACAGAAATCGATCGCATTCGTAAGTATACTCTCGTAGATTGAGCCTCTAAATAGCAATACATGTCTCTAACTTACGCAGTCGAAAGCATGAATCAGCAAGTTAATGAGATAAGAGACCATATCGACTTGAGCAAAATCAACGAATTATCAATTGCTGAAGGCACTGAGTATGACGCTCATCAAAATCAGCATGAGCCTAATTGTCATCCAGAAACCAGGGTAGAGCTCCTTAAAGAGATCCTCCTCTGGGCCCAGGACTCGACCGACCGACGGATTTACTGGCTGAGCGGAATGGCTGGCACTGGAAAATCCACGATCGCTCGGACAATTGCTAAGAGTTTGGATGACAAGAAACAGCTTGGAGGCTCGTTCTTCTTCAAAAGAGGAGAGTTTGATCGAAGCCGAGCATCCCTTCTCTTTAGCACAATCGCACGGCAACTCGTTCGGCATCGTCCAGTAATGCTACCATTCGTGGTGAATGCCATGAAAAAGACAGACAATATCTGCTCGAAGAGCATGATGGAACAGTTTCGCACACTTATTCTCAGCCCCCTCAAGGAAATCGAAGACAAATTTCAAGAGATGACAACGTCAGTACTTGTTCTGGACGCATTAGATGAATGCTCGGCTGAAAAGGATATCGACACTTTTGTTCCCTTGCTTTCTACATTGGCCAAATCCGAAAAATATAAGATCAAGGTCTTCGTCACAAGTAGACCAGAGATTGCTGTCCGCCATGCTTTCAATCACATCAGCAAATTGCATCGAGAGATCAGGCTGCATCAAGTGGCACAAGAAACAATATTTCACGACATCAGAGTCTTCCTCAGGGATGAGTTAGCAATGATAAAAGATAAATGGAACAACAGCCACCTAGACCGTCCTTCTCAACAACTTACCGCGAGTTGGCCTGAGGATGAGAAACTGGAGATTCTAGTCCAGACCGCAGTCCCGCTATTCATCTTTGCTGCAACTGCTTCTCGTTTCATCCAGGATCACCATTTTAGCAGCCCTGATGAACAACTAACAACATTTCTCCAAGCGGCGAGAATGAGTGGCGTCAATGACAAACTCAGCGCCACCTATCTACCCGCCCTGTTGCAATTCAAAGCCAACAGAACTGGACTAGAGAGAGACCGCCTACTGGGAAATTTTCGAAGAATCGTTGGTACAATCATCCTTCTCGAAGTTTCATTACCAAGCAACTCAATCGCCACCTTGATAAACATGGACGCGGAAAAGGTTGATCGCATGTCAAATCTCTTAAGTTCAGTGCTTGATATTCCCGTCGACCCCGGTTCACCTGTCAGGCTCTTCCACCTCTCTTTTCGTGATTTCCTCCTTAGTCCAGCAGCAGGAGACTTCAAGATGAACTACAAGGATACACACCGACGAATTGCACTAGGATGCTTGCGCTTGCTTTCGACAACAGAGGCCTTGCGATACAATATGTGCTCCTTGCATCCAGGCGATAAACGATCACGCTTAGACAAACAGACAATAGAGGTGCAATTTCCGCCTCATGTAAAATACTCTTGTCTTCACTGGGTTCACCACGTAGAACAGGCCGGAATGTCTCTTAAAGACGATGATAAGGTTCATCAATTTCTTCAAAGTCACCTCCTCCACTGGTTGGAGGCTCTCAGCATTCTAGGGGAGACTACAAGAGCGATTGACATGCCTCGCAAATTGTTGAAACTGACAAAAGTAAGTAAATTTTGGATCCATTCAAAGTTTGAATGAAACATAAATAATACACGTCAGCCCGCAGTCACTAATGATTATTAGCTGTCTAACCAGCATAACCTTCATGATTTCCTCGTGGATGTGATGAGCTTCGTTCCACATCATCACCCAATCTTCATGGATATCCCTCTTCACGTGTATTGGGGGGCATTGATGTTTTCTCCTAGCAAAAGCATCATCAGGAAAAGGTTCATTGGCAGCGCGCCAATCTCTATAGCTTTCCAGCAGCCACACAACCCGTGCTGGTCTCCTTTAGTACGCATATGTCGATCGACTCACTGGGCTCCACTCACGTCTGTGGGTATCTCTTCAGATATGAGCCTGATAGCTGGAGGCTTTAAAGATGGGCACCGTGAAGTATGGGAGACATCCACCGGGCTGAATAAAAGTATAGGTAAGGCCAGGTGTAAGGCCAGGTGTAAGGCCAGGTGTAAGGCCAGGTGGTGGGAGAGGATATTTTCAATCAAAATTTCAAGAGACCTTGCAAGTATTGTGTCAGTTTCCCGGTACACTATAGAGGTCCACAACGCGAGTACGGGTAAGATTGTATGGGCGGCAACACGAGAAACATGGCCCAAGTATTTTTTACACATTGACATATCCCAGGATTCTACAATGATTGCGTCAGCGCATGCTGATACAACTGTAGATATATGGGATATAAACACAGGCAGGATCATTCGGTCCATGTCTTGTAGTGAAGACAATGAGTCGACACTGACCGCAGGGTTTGTGAGCTTTTCCTCAGAATCCAGATCAGTAGCAGGATCATTCGGGCGACACTGCTGCATTTGGTCTGTGGACACGGGCCAATGCATACGAAAGCTAAAGAGCGATATGGACGTTGTATGCCCGTTGTTGCTCTTCGAAAATATCCTAGCAATGGCGAACCCTGATGGAAAGGTTCAGATACTGAACTTGGAGACGGGGCAGCAGAGGTTCATATGTACTTCTGGGAAATTTGCCCAAGGGCAGACGGCTATATCCTGCGATGCCAAGCTAGTAGCATTTGCACAGCCCCCTGGAGAGCCAACATTCATCTCCGTGTGGTCTCTAGAAACTGGGAGACATTATCAGACATTCAAAATTGCATCAAATGCCCCAAACTCGTTCGACGATTCGGATTGGGCCTTTCGCGCGAAAAACGCCTCTTATGCAGGGTCTGAGCCTGACATCGACCAGATACCGATCTACGAAAAAAAAAGTCCACCAGGTTCGTCCTTGGTCTTTTCACAAGACGGATATTCCTTGGTATATATTGCAGGTCATAGCATACATGTCTGGTCTCTTGCTATCTTTGACCAGCTTCCTGTTATATCTGAAGACGAAGCCAACGAAGTTCCTCAACTTGCAAATGCATTTGATTGCTCTGTTCAGACGTTGAAGGAGGAACAAGTATTGGTGTCAACACACGTGGACAACAAGATCAGGTTATGGTCTTTGGTGACAGGGAAACTCGTTAGTGTGCTCCAAGATTTTCAAAGGCCGGAAAAAATTGCAGTGTCTCCGAACATGAGACATATATTTACCTTAAATTTTGACGGGCACTGCCATATTTGGACAATGTCTGGAGTTCGTGATCCTTTCTCATACGACCCTCTGTCGATTAGGGAATGGGAAAAGCTAAGACGCAAGACATACAACGCAGACTTTTCCGCCACCTTTTCCGCGGATTCAAAATTCATTGCTGTATGCTCCCAAGACGACTTCAGCCTTTGGACGGTAAGTGGGCGAAGAATGTTTCGGGATTCATGTTTTCGGGACGGTCCTTTCGCCATATCAGCGGATTGCAATACGGTAGTTTACGTCGACAAGGATCCAGAACTAGGCCTGCCATGGAAAAGGATAAAGGTATTATCAATCGAAACAAATGAGCTTGCCTGCTTGAAGTCATCGACTTGCGGTTTCTCCGCCCTAGCCATTTCTCCCGACTCAATGCACATAGCTTCGTTCGAAATCAGTGAAGGGTCGTCTACCTATTCTAGATCGATTTGGTCCCGAGTTAGAAGAAAAGTCTTTCATCACAAACGTCTTTCTAACGATACAACATATCCTTCGGCGATGGAGTTCTCTTCTGATTCGAGGAAACTAGCGATAGCGACCGTAGGCGGCGGTTCTGTGGAAATATGGTTCGTTTCCACAGGACAGTGCATCTACAGATCGCGAGTACCATTCTCGGTGCCTGTGATTTCATTCTCCCGAGAACTCTCGTTTCTCTATACAAGATTTGGAAAACTTAAGATCGGAAAACAAAACATCCCGCAGCAAAGGAACCACCAGCCTAGCAGCTCTGCATCAGGTCGTTCGGCTTCTAAAGACATATCCAGCAAGTGCCAAAATTTGAGCTGGAGCGGGTATGGATTTGATAAAGAAAGATGTTGGATTACTTGGAACGGAGCTAACACCATTTTACTACCTGCCGAGTTGAGTGTCGGGCGATACCGACGCTCGGAATATCCCCTTGTGGCTGTAGGAGATACATTTGTTAGCTGGATCACTGAGTCTGGTACGCTTTGTATGATCGGGTTTTCGCCAAAGACAGTACCTCCGATTTAAGTCATTAGAGAAGAGAATAGTTTCGGGGCAACTCAGCACGCTGCTTCATGCGTATGACCTGGGTTAGTGGTATCAACGGTGGCAGTATTGACAGGCGACTTGTTGAACTAGACACAACGGATGACGAGAATTCTGTAGTAGCTTTAAAGAGTTGGGGTCTCAGGTGCCAGAAATTCATCTAACCCTGAAAAATATTCAGGCCAAGAAGCCCCAAGATTGTCAAAACATCACACTTTAAAGTTTCATTCGGCCTTGCACTCTACAACATATCTTGACACCTAGAACGCATGTTCATGCATACATGTGAGCGCAACAAACCATCAACGAATTGCATAACAATTCAAAATATCATTACAAAACATACAAAAGTGGTATCACATTTCCAAGACAATACAACAATTGGCCACCTCCATAATCACACACACACACGCACACACAAAACACATGCTCACTTCTTCTCCGTGCTCCCGGTAGTCTCACTATCCACAGGCCCAGGCACCTTGCCCTCCATAACGCCATCCTCACCAGGCTGAAACTCCTCCTTGGCGACGGGCGGGCCGTGGAAGTTCTTCCTCGCGTAGGCAAAGTACCACGCAATCGCGATGAACGCGAAGCCCGCAAACACGACAGAAGCGTAATTCATCGACGACGCGTCGACGGGCAGACTGACGGGCATGCAGAAGATGACGACGGCGAAGCAGATCCAGACGATGCAGATGCAGTTGATGAGCATGCCGAACTTGCCGAGCGGGTAGGGCGAGTTCGCGACGGCGCGGCGGCGCTGGATGAGGTTCACCAGCACGGGGACGCCGTAGCTCGTCGACAGGCAGATCGTGGCGACGCCGGTGAAGGAGTTGAAGGCGGCGCTGGAGCCGAAGTAGATGCAGCCGAGGACGCAGTCCACGGCGGTGGAGAGGAACAGGGCCCAGAGGGGCATGTCGAGCTTCTTGTTCACCTTGCTCCACAGCTTGTAGCCCGGGATGGCGCCGTCTCTGGCGAAGGCGTATGTGCATCGCGACGCGGCGGTCAGCGCGCCGATTCCGGCGAACATGAGGATTCCCAGGATGAGGAAGAGGAGACCGAAGCCGCCGGCGGCCGAGCCGGTGACGGTCTTGAAGAGGAGGCCGATGGGCTGGGAGTTGGCGACCTCGAGGAGCATCTTAACATCGGGGAAGACGAAGAGGATGGGGATGAGGTAGATGACGCCGGTGATGCCGGCGGCGAGGACGGAGAGGACGATAGCGCGGGGGACTTCGCGTTCGGGGTTCTGGACTTCTTCGCACATTGCGGCGACCATGCCGTAGCCGGTAAGGGTGTACGCGGCTGGGCGTGTTAGTTTCCTCAAGCTATCACACTGATAGATACAAGTATCGGAGCATACCTTGGAGAAGTCCAACGAAGAAAGACCAGGCGGAAGGCCAGCCACTCTCAGAGGCATCATAATGCGAAAAGACAAATTCGGCAGATCTCTTACTAGGCGCCATGACAAGAATGGTAACGAGAATGATCAAAACGGCGGCGCTGGTCCAGTAAATGCAAATCTAAACCCTCCCCCCACCGTCAGCACCACTTCTCATAACCAACCTGTCACGCCACTTCGAAACTCACCTTGTTGATCAAATCCAGATACCTCGACCCGAACGCGTTCACAGCAGCGCAAACCAACATGACGGCCCAGAAGCACAACACGGTCTGCCACTCATTGGCCACAAAGTCCTCGTTGAAGATGCTAATAGCGCTGAGAATCAACTGAGCGCCACTGAAGTTGATGCTCAGAGTGACGGTCCAGTTGCCCACCAACGTCAGCCACCCGTCGACGAAACTGACGAGCGGCGCCCAGCCGGCCGGGGCCAGCATGGCGGACCAGTAGTAGACGCCTCCGGCGGTGGGATAGACGGCGCAGATCTCGGCCAGCGAGGCGGCGATGCACAGCGAGATCAGGGAGACGAGGACCCAGCCCCAGAGGACGGTGACGGCCTGGCCGTTGGTGAGGGTGATGTACATTGTCGTGCTCAGGCCGAAGGGCACGGCCATGATGGCGAAGGAGAGGCCGAGAATGGACAGCATGGAGAGGTTACGAGGGAGTTCTGCCTTGTAGCCCAGGCGGGCGAGAGCCTGGTCGGCGGAGACGCGGGGGTGTGATGTCTCCATTGTCACGGATCGATCGAGGAGTTGCGTACGTGAGAGAAACCGAGTTGTTGGAGTAACCGAACGTTGGAGTTGGGTTGAGAAAGACTCAATTCGGGGATGAGCAGAAGCGGTTCAAGTCGAGTCTACTCTCCATACGGGTCCTGAGAAGATCGGGAGGGGGGCTCGAGTGGTCGGGGAAAAGTCCGATAAAGGGATTTGCCGTGCGGGAGGAAGCAAACACCACCGGGTTTAAAGGACTAGAAAAAAACCACAGACACAAACAGGTTAAAAAAGGAGAGAACACAGACAACTACACGCGAAGCAGTTTTGGGGAACGAGAGAGAGAAGGGAGGGGGCTAGGCCATTCTTTAGTACGGCCGGCAGTTTTTTTGGAGAAAGTCGTAGTAGCATGGTAGCTAAGACGGTTCGGCGTCGACCGAGTCACCACACCATAGTACACAAATCAATGACACAGAAACGAAGAGGTTCGCTTTCCCCCAAGCTTGGTAATGGTGCTAATGCAACGAGATCGGGGGTCTGTGAGGGGGAAGCAAGAGGGGGGATGAAGTGGGATGAAGGGGGAGGGGGGCCCTGTTCGACACGTTAGTGTCTCCTCTCTCTGCCTCTCTATGCCTCTCTCACTCCGTCTCCCCCACGCCCCGCAGACAAGAAGAGGTGGAAACGCCGAGAGGTGCTCCGTACATTCCAAGGTTGGCTTCCGGTCAGCTTTGTCCAGTGACAGGTGGCCGCGGCGCCGCTTGCTGATGCTGGGAATGGCCAAGCGCGGTGCGTTCGACTGCGGTTACGGTATCTACGGAGCCCACTGGTTGTTGAGGGGGAGGGATACAGGGACCACCGCTGGAACAGTTGTTACTGGACGGTTTGTGGTTTCCGAGGAGTCCACCGGTTCAGCTATATCTCGGCCGGGGTAGATTGGCACATTTGGGTACGAGGGGGGTAGATCTGCATGTGGTTTATAATGGGGTTATGGTGGTTCGTGCGTATCAGTCGCTTTTGCCTGCCTGTCTGTCTGCTTGCGCAACGGGGGAGGGGAGGGACCTGAATCATGTTGATGTCACTTGATGATAGATATCAAACGAGATGCGGATTGGACTGCCAATTGCATGGTGTATACCTTCTTATGGGTAGATGTGGTAAAAACGGGTAGAGCTGGGCTGATAACACATACTCACCCACACCACACACACACACACACATACCTGGCGTCACAGCTCTCATGATACCTTGCAGTACGTGGTATGATCAGGATCAGTACAGGGAACACACAGTAAGGCGAAAAAAAGGCTTGTTTTTCCAGCCCCGTGATGTCACTCCCAAGCCCGTCTACCGACCCCGCGGCGGCGGCCTGCAACATGTGCTGTAACAAACCATTATGCGAGGCGATCAACACTTTCGGCCTAGGAAGTCGGTAGCGCGAACGTGTGAGTGTGTGAGTGTGTGCAGGCCTTTATTACGACAGGTATGTAAGGGTGTTTGGAGCCAGCAGTTCCTCGTCCGGGGGGGAAGAAAGCACACTATCAAGGCCCCCTGGTTTCCTCACCTCTCCAATCTGACTTGGGGTTAAGCTAGACTGAGCTGGGGCTGGGGCTGGGCTGGGCTGACAGCATCTTATCAGCGCTGTCAAATTTCAACTCTCTGGAAGCTATGCCCAGGATTCGGTGAAGCCGGGCCTAAACCATATGCAAACATACCACACCTCTACCGATTGTGCTGGGGGAAAAGACTGGCATATACACTACCATACTTCAACTCACGGTCGCGTGTCATCCATAACGGCCCAGTCCCAAACGAGATCACCAAGCTTCCCCCCCGCGAAAGATACATACACTATTGTACTCTGTACCCACGGCACGCAGCGGGGAAAATGAGAGTGGAATGCCCACGCCAGTCTGACCAGTCATCATGCCAAAACCAGAGGCCGCCGTCAACCGCACACTCCACAGTCATAGATAACGGTTATCTACTCCCTCGTCCCTCGTCTCCTCTCGTGACGAATCCTCTCCTCTTATTCGTGGTATTCAAGTAGAACCCGGCACCAACGTGTCAAGACAATGGAGCGATTACAGCCGTTAGCCGGGGGCACAATCGACCTACAAAAGTGAAGAGTTCCTCCGGTCATGTTCCGTGCGCCATGCCGGGTCCGTCTTAAAGATAGCATTTATCTCTTCTAGAGATAGGGGAAGCATCGGATGATTCTCTGCAAACTGGGGGGGGGGGGGGGGGGAACCAAGAGAGATAGGAAGAAATAAAATAAAACTAAAACTAAAAGTAAGGGTCGCCCATCCCCCTAAACAAGCTTGCTCGTCCTTATCAGCAACCAAATCCAAGCATAGAAAAACACCTTCGGCCCGATACCTCATCGAGCACGAGGCGAGTCCAGCTAAGTAGCCCAGCTAAGCCTCAGCTCAACATTTCCCAGCTCGTGTCACATTCTCTTCTATTCTACATCTCGCTTCATCTAATCCTTTCCCCTTCGGCCTGCAAAAGCAAAGCCCATACTCGTCCCAGAAGAAACCTTTACCGCTGTTTAAGAAGTGCTTCCTCCGTCAGCGACAAGCGGTGACGACGACTCAACAAGACGAGCCAGGAAAACCTGAATCGCAATTTAGATTGCCGAGCCAAAGCCGAGGCCAAACTTTTCCCCATTATTTTTCCCCCCCATTTCTACAGCGACTATGTAGTAACTAACCTAACTAACATACCCCATTACTGCCATTCTGATAAAAAAGCGACACGTCGGCCACTGCCGGCGCCGGATACGCCAGATACGGAGGTGGCAATGTACCTTAGCCGGTTGCATATGGCATTGACTTTAAAGAGGCCTTCTAGAGCCAATTCCACCCATACAAAACATACATACATATATATGCAACATATATCCATCCTCAACGGGCCTGAAAGTTTGCCTTCTTTACTAGCTTCCATACATTTCTCTCTCATTTCTTCTAATCCCAGCTCCGTTGCTCAACAATTCGCTAAACTGCCCACCTCCCGGTCAATCACATGCATCTCGCTTCCGTGCCCGGGACCGCCCGATGAGTCCAGAACAGAGTGGGACGGATGCTTCGTTAACGAATGCCGACGACGATGAATCACAACTTGCTCCATTCTGACTACATACTAACTAGGCTCTACTTACTGGCACCATTTCACATGTCAAAAAGGGATTTTGAAAATATAAATAAAAATAAAAAAAGATATTCATGGCCTCCAAAAGTGACGCCGTATCATCAACCCCCCCGTCAAAAAAAGACTCATCAAATGCCCCCAAAACAACAAAAATGCTCCTTTTTGAGCCCCTCTAGGTCCTGACCGGGACCAATCATACGCGGATAACCTCCCCAACGCCTTGCAAAAACCCTGAACAAAATCCCCCCCCAAAATTAGGGGGAAGCCTATGCCGTCCATAATCAATCAAACCTCCCCTCAACACGCCTGTCGTCTACTAAGCTCAAATTCACTTTCCAAGTACCTGCTTTTCATCCTCCTCGTCCACAAGTCTCCTCTGCTTGAGGATCCTGACCAGCTCTGTCATGGTTACTGGTCGGGTTAAGAATAGGTCCATTCCACTTGCGAAACCTTCCTGTCTAGCACCGACCGAACCCAGGCTTGTGATGGCGATGACTACTACGGGAGGAAGGTTGTGGGCGCGCTCAAATTTTCGGATTCGCCGCGTGGCTTCTAGTCCGTCCATAACGGGCATTGTTATATCTGCGTTGTGTGAGTAAGGTGAATCTGTTCAAGCTGCTCCCAATAACTGTGCTCGACATACCTATGAGGATGCAGCAAAACCTATTGGGTTGGTTTGTGTACGCCTGTAAAGCCTCCAGGCCGTTGGAGGCCGTAGTGTGTCGTTTATGAAGTCTTTTCATGTATGCCGAAAGGATCTAAGTTTGTTAATACACCGGTATGCATGGCGTATAGAGCCAACATACCTTGACGTTGATCGGATTATCATCCACCAGGAGAAACTCCTGGGGGTTATTGTTTCTTGATGATGGGGGAGAAGAAGAAGACACAGTAGGCGGGGTTTCACCTCCCGGTGTCAATGATCTTGACCTCACGGTAGCGGCCGATGGCCCTGCTGGTCGGAACGGGAGGGTCAAGGTAAAATTCGGCTCGGCTTCAGCCTTCCAGTTGTCAATCGACGACTGCGGGACAGCTTCGTCTTGCGCCGGAATCACCCTTGGACTCTTGATGCTTTCCGATTGCGCTCTCGGGCGAGATGTAAGCTCAGATTTTATCGTAGTGCTCGTTGGAAACGATCCAGCAAATGCACCGGATGGCGGGCCGGAAGCAACCATTTTGACAGCCTGACGCTGTTGCCACCTATCAAGAGCGCAGGCCAGAGCCTTAGCAACCTTTCTTGGCCCAGTACTGATGCATTGTTAGTTATGGACACGACTAAGCTGACGGTTGACTTACGGCTGAGCAATAAACTCCATCACCGTCTGCTGGCGAGACCTTCTGTACGAATTCGCGAGTTTCTGTGCCGCCTCGGCGTTACAGCATACGACAACCAAAGGGGTCTCGTTGCCCCTGCTGTTGGAGAGGTCGAGCTTTTGGAAGGCTTCCTCACTGCAGATTGTGAGATCCGCTGGGGGCATGCTCGCCTCGGTGCTCTCATCATTGACATTGACGTCCAGCCATTTGAATGGAAGACTCTCCACTGGAAGATCGTAGCCACCGGCCCGAAGCTCTTCCAAGTTATCGAGGCCCCGACTAAACCCACGGACAGAAAGCCGCCTTCCAGCCAAGGAGCTCAAGTCGGCCGAAAACTTGCGTCCACGACTGCTCGACTTGCGCGATAGCACGAGGGGTACTGAAACCGTTACGCTCGTTCCGTGGCCAACCTGACTCTTCACACTAATCGTTCCACCGAGAGTGGCAACGATTTGTCTCACCAGACTCAGACCCAAGCCTGTGCCTGGTGCCAAGGCATCTTCCTGAGAGAACGGTGTGAAGAGCTTGTTGCGCAAAAAGTCCTCGCTGATGCCTTTACCCGAGTCGGTGACAGTCAAAACCACCATCGACGCAGACCTAGCTGACTTGTGAACCACCTCTTCCTGTCTCAATTGGACCTTGATGAAGCCCTGGGACGTGTACTTCAGGGCATTACCAAACAAGTTCATGATAATGCGGCGGACAGCGCCCGGCTGGGTGTGGAAGACCCAGGAGAAGTTCGGATCAATATCGACAAGGATTTTGAGGTCCTTCATGTTATTAGGCTGGCTCTCTGACGAGTTCCGTTTATGCCCCAACACCTCTGTAGTGGCGATGGCGTCAAGTTTTTCTTGTGCAGGTGTAGGAGGCCCAGATGTCGACCCATGGCGGGCAAGCTGAGATGCCACCATATGTTGAAAGCTGTGACCGATGAAGACGCTCTCTATGACTTCTTCGACGAGGAGGTCAAGATGGACATCTGATACCAAGGTCATCATGCCAGATTCTATCGACGCGGATGCTTCTGGTCGTAGACCACGGCCTGGTCCGTTGTTTCGTCGCTGGGATTTAGATGCCCTTAGGTAGGTGTTGACCTTACTATAGTCCAACAACTACTTTGTGTTAGTCTCTTGGAAAGGGGTAGTGAGGCAACAAGATGCTTACATGGTCTATGGTATCCAGTAGAGTCTTGCCTGATATCTCGATGGTGTGGATGACATCCACCTGGAAGGCGTCCAGTTGTGTGTCATGGAGAAGTTCGGCAGCAGCAACCACACCGTGCAGCGGGGATCTAAGCTCGTGACTGAGAGACCCCAAAATATCCGTCTTCGCCTTTTCGGCTATAATGGCGTCAAGCCGGGCGATCTCCGACATCGTAACCATGCCAAAGGCCCTTAGGTAGGGCAAGTCTGCGTCGGGGGTCAGGATACGCGATGCGCTCTTGCTCCATACAAATCCTCCCGCGAAGCAACGCTCTTTCGACGGGTCCCATAGCGGTACGACTGCCACGCTTCTAGCGCCAGGAAACATGTCTACAATGGTCTTTGCCTCATTTCGCCTCGTGAAGTAAGAATACGCCGCTCGGGTCTCCGGCCTGGTCGCTTGCTCGCTCTCCTCGGTTGGGGTGATATCCGTATCGTCACCTTCGGAATCCACCGAATACCAGTTGCCCGATTCATCGAAACTGAAGACCTTTCCATTTGGATACCTCCGGAGGAGTTTCTTCAGGAACCTTTCCCGAAGAGTCGAGGGGCCAGGCTGGGGTCCGTCTATGCCAATCAATGTGTTGTCCACAGCTGGCGACCTTCCGAAACATTTGCACCACCTGTCGTTGGCATCCTCGGGTCTCTCAGAGAGACTGTCCTCGCTGCTTGAAAAATGGTTATCTGCAACTTCACTAGCCTTCCGGGGTCCGCTGACGAGCCCACCGTAGGATCCAATACTCGCATCAAGGAAAAGCGCACCGTCGGCTTGCAGTGATTTACGGATTACATTGGCGGCCCGCGAGAAGATCTTGATCGTTTCTGTCAGGCGAGGGTCTGGTGGTGCAGAGCTTGATGTAGTCGTAGCCACTGTTGTGGTTGTGGCCGTAGTCTCGACGGAATCACTCGAGTCAAGCTTTGTTGGCGAATCGGTTGGATCTTGGTGGATGGGGTTGATATTTGGTCGAACGACCTCAGAGTTGGGCGATGCCGGTTCTGGCTCAGGAGGCGACGTGGCCGGCGTGTCAGACCCATAGGAGGATGACCTCGGTGATGGAAGCCTAGCGGGCAATGGCACCTCCTCTTTGCCCCCAATAAAATCCCCAAGGCCGTGGACCATTCGTTCACTGCGGCGGTAGCTCTCCGTCACTCTCTTTGCGTCCAAGTAGTCCATCACAGTCTTGGAAACCTCCCTCAGAAACTGAACCGAGTCAGCGTCCAACCCCGACCTCGGACGATCATCAAAGATGCAATAGACTCCGATGTTGATGCCTTTCGGGGAGCGGATGGGAATGCCAGCGTAGAAACGGTTATATGGAGCGGCGTCTATGTACGGACGGTTACAGAATCGTCGGTCAGTCGCAAGATCCGGGACTACAGCCACGGGGAGCTGCTCATCATCGTCATCGGACACGGGAACAGAGGAATTAGCTTTGCGGGGTTCTTCAGTAGTCGCACCGACGAGGACATGCTCGCAGATTCCGAATGCGCGGGGAATGGCCGTCCCACAAAGCCAGAGGTGGTTTCCCGAGGCATACTTTGCGTTCGGAGCGAGCGGTATGGACCGGGTGGCTTCGGCGACGATGTACTGTTGCTGACGGTCAAACAGGGAGATGAGGGCGCGTGAAGCGTTCAATCGCAGGGCTCCCAGCTGCGCAAAAGCAGTGAGGCCTGTGTCGGGCGAGGACGAGAGGGCCGAGAATGGGATTGGGTGTTCGGGACTGTTGAAGACGGCGCTGGGGATGAAATGGGAATCATATCTAGAGGTACGACGATCGTTAGTTAGCCATGTTGCGGCTCCAAGCTCGAGCTCCAAGCAGGAGCAAAGGCAAAGGCAATGGCAGCGGCAGAGAGGGTTTGCGTACTTGAATGTCTCCCATTCACGGGCGCCTTCTGATATCTTGGTCATGCTTCATACAGGATCGTTGTGTGTGATGAAGGTCGTCATGCTCATGATCTAGGTGGAAATTTTGACCAGAGAGCAGTGATATCAACAATGGCAAGTTTTCCCTTTGTTCGACGTCGTCGTCAGCACTTGATTCGGGGGCCAGACCAAGGAGGAGGAGCAACAAACGGACAAACAAGCAGGCATTAGAGATGAGGCGGCGGGCATGACTGAAATGCCGCCCCTCCCCGCTGGTGGTGGAACAGGGATCCCAGAAGCCGGGATGGGCGCTGTTCGAGACGGTTGGGGGGGGACCAAAGGCAGGCGGAGGGAGGCAGACATGGTGTGGTCTTGGGCTTGCAGCTCGGCTAAGGTGCCTTAGTGTGCTCATCGTTGCAGGGCATGCGAGCGGAGGGGCAGATGGATCAAGGACGGCATGGGCCAAGCTAGCGGCTATCCTTGCCCTGGATGAGAACCGGTTCCTCGGGCAAGTTGGCATCCACCCGGTCGAGGGCACTGTGGTACCTACCTCGCCCCGAGGGTGGAGGGTGTGGACGGCCAGCCGTGACCCTTGGCTAGAATTGGAGTACCGGTATTACTAGTAGGTGTACTGGTATGTTGGTTTGGGCCCATTGAGCCTGTTGTTTGTCTTGGTTTTGCGTCTTGGGGGATCTCCCTCGTAGCATCTGAGATGCGCTAGGCCCTAGTGGCCGGCGATGAAAGTCTACAAGAGTCCATAGCTTGTCTCTTTGCGGCCCAAACCTGATAATTCGGCGACAGATGGACCGGGCGCCGCAGCAGACACAAAGCTAAAGGATGGAGAAGAGCAAAGTTCAGATGCCCAACCGCTGCAACCACTTGCGAGTAACTCTTCAGGCGAGGTTCTAGGGGTCTAGAGGCCTCTTAGCGTCGTCGCACGTGGGGGGGAAACCAATGGCGAGGGGGTATTTGGAAGTGTTTTTTGGACGCCTACAGAACGATCGGAAGCTAAATAATCGAGATGGTGGGATGGCACAGATGGTCTTGCCAAGGTGGCGTTGGGGCCAGACCCCGGTGATTTGAGAAAGTTGAGCACGAGGTGGTTTGTAATTTAGGTAGCGAGATCTGAGGCCGATTGTGATGGTGATGATGGTGATGATGATCAGCAAACTCAAGATAACGCAGGACAAGCAAATCTCTCCATGTCCTCTCGGTGAATGGGCGGGCATCAATTCTGCGTTTAGCGAGGTAGGCGACGCTCAGTGTATCATTGTAGTGTGCACCGTGTATGTGCCTGGGCTTCGTGATAGTTGATGTCGGTGTTTCGTCAGTCACCACCGTCTTGCTGTCCATCCTCCACCATGGCTGTGACTGCGAGCGTGGTTTAATCTTGAAAGATGACGGACCACGGTGGCTGAGGTTAAACATACCACTATGCAGATAGCCAACCAGACCGAGTGTAGATGACGGGCCTGGCTCCGGGAACCCTGAAAGAATCTCCACCATGCCCACGGATGCCACCCCCATGTCGGCACCCTTGTTAGGCAGCCGATGGAGGAGAAAACATGGACGACGTGGGCATCGAGGCAAATCGGACATGGTGCGGCGTTCTAGACACCTATACGATGTGAGAGATTGGCGTACAGAACAGGAATGAAATGGGTTGAAGGAAAAACCTTCTTTTTTTGCAGTGGGCGGTTGCGGTGAGTGACGGTGAAGAAAGTGCTCACCACTGGCACTGGCAAAGGGAAGGACAACGGCTGGCATGGACCCTTCATTGCATACCTTGGCAGGGTGCACCTGCCTCCCATAATATGCATAACTAGACAAATATAGGCAGGCACTATTACGGAAATACTGCTAGTAGGCAAGTGGTACTAACAATGGTGGGAGAAAGGACATTCGCATTGGCAACAGCAATTGCCATTGCACCTGTACCTGCCAAACTACCATAGTGCGACCACTAACCAACCACGGTAGCTGCTTCCACAATGGTGTGGGTGACACAACTTTGATAGCGGCGGTGGCAGCAGCAGTAGTAGCAGCAGTAGCATCGGTAGCATCAGTAGCAGCAGGAAGGACCATACGCCAAACTGCAGGGGCAGGCACAGTTACCTTTTCATTGTAAGGCGTACAGTGTCATTTCAGCCATCAAAGGGGGGGAAGGAAGGAAAGGGGGCGCTTGTGGACTGCACCTGTCGTTGGAAACTTGGAAATCAAGTAAATGGCAGCAGCAAGAAGCTGGCAAGTGGCAGGGTTATTGACTCGGCAGACCCGCTGTTTCCCTCTTTTTGACATTGTGGGGTTGCTGTGTTCCAGTGACTGTGTGCTGAAGCCCACAAATATGCGGTAATCCCGTACTGTGTTGGAAACAGTACCAACAATTCGCGTCCACTTCACATCCAATAAGCTGTAGACGAAAAGAGACTAGGCGGTACGTACATAGCACTGTTTCGGCCGCGGTCGCTGCAACCACCTGCAGGACCCCATTTCTTTCGGTACGTACCTAATGCGCCTTCCAAGTTCCAACAGCTATTCTGACACGCACTTCATTTCAACACAACCTCATCATCCTCCTCCCTCCTCCCAATCATCATGACCGCTTCTTGTTAGGAGGCCTTATTTTCCCTCGTTATTGCATAAGCCTTACGCCCGCGGAGACCCTTCCCTCCCATTTTGTTCGGCTGTTTTTCACCGCTAATGGCAATTCACTATTGCTGTCATCGTCGTCGTCGTCGTCGTCGTCGTCGTCGTCGTCTAGCCTAGCCGCCTACTCAACACGAGACCTCAACAATGGGTCCATAATCCTAACAATGTCTATGGTTTCGCCGGACGACAGACTGTACATCCATCACTTGAATCAGCTGAATCACTTCAGCCCCGTCCCATTCCGTAACCTCTTTTATGCGAGCTGATAAGATTGAGACGGCTTGATCTTGTCCGCCATCAGCTCAAACCATCGTCATCTCATCTTTCAGTCATCAATTAAACCGTTCGTTCTCTTGCCAACGCCTTTTTGATCCTTCATCCATTATCGTCAACCTGCCCCACAGAGAGCCGTTGGTGTTTGGGAGGACTCAAAATCACCCCCAAGACCCTTCATGGACCCTGATTCAACCCCTTGCTCATCCTCTATCCCTGCGGCGAGCATCCCGTTACCGGGGGGCCTTCGTTCTCAATGGCACCGTATTTCGCCCTAATAAAACCCCGGCCAGCACTACGTAAGACCCCGAGAACGGACCCCGATCGCTCACGGGGGTTGACCATGCTACCATATCGAGCCTTGTAGGCCACATCGACCTCCAGTACCGGCTTGGCCGGACGTCTGACGACAATGACGATCTACCACCTTTACAACAAAGTGCCGCCTCCGTCAATGGAAGCTTCTCGCAAAACAATGATAATTATCACGATGCTTGGCATTCATTCGGTTTCTTCTTCATCGCTCAGCGCGCCTGACAGCCATATGAATCAAGTTTGGAAAAAAGAAAGCAGAAGAAAAACCGGCTTGCAAAAATTCCATGTCATCATGTACGACTCAGAAGCTGCCTTTCTGCATGACACCGACTTTTCAACCCCAAACACCCAAAACAGCCAGGGCATGGCTAATGAGCCCTATGCTGCTGGTTTTGCGGGAACATGGACACATTTAACATGTATGCTATCTTCCAGCATTATTGTCGACTAGTTTCATCCCTCCGATGACGCCCTCGAACCCGCTTCCTCCAACCGTCGCCAAGGGTGCTTCCACTGCCATCGGCGCCCACACAAAGCGATTGCCATTCCAGCCCAAGACGGTCAGGAACTCCATCCGCTTGCCGTCGCCAACGTCCAAAAACGTCTGCCGCCCCTGGCCGATCAGGCTCGCATTCGTCCACAACCCCACGGGGAACGTGTAGTTGAGCGCGTACGTGCTCTCCCCAGAGAAGAGCATGACACTATCCACCGTCCCGTTGCCAAACCACAGCCCACTGTCCCCACCACTGAAGATTGCGCCTTTCGAATCCGACGTGGGCTTGATCGAGAATGTGAATGTGTAATCGCGCCCCTTCTGCACGAGCGGCGTTGTGATGCTGCACGAGGGACTGAGTATAACTCCCTCCTTTCCAGTGGCGCATGTCGACGTTGCGTGGTACTTGTTGCCCGATAGATCCTCAATAATGCTGCTGTTGCCGCCCCAACCCTGTCTAAAGTTGTATTCCATAATCGTCGATCCCCCAGATGGGATTCTTCGATCGAGATTCTGCCCAGGCGCAAATGGCTGTAATTTCGCAAATAGCTCTCCGTAGGTATCCTCCGAGACCTCTCCTCCCCACTGCTTATCCGCGAGGGCTGGCAGACCGTCCCTCCACTGATAGTACGCCTCCGTCACTGTCGTCGCGTTAGGGCCGTAATCATTCCACTGCGGTGCGATATGACCCAGCGCTGCTGGGTCATCCCTCGCCGCGTTATTGGCATCGTTCTCTCGATCAAAGATGTTTGGCGAAAAAGGCGTCCCGTCAGGTGATCCGTGGAATATGAAATCCAAACTCAGCTCATGCCCGTACCACTGCGACCACTTGCCGACGGTGTATACATAGTCCCCAGAGTTGAGGACATCGTAGCCATTATCGATAAAGTCGTGTAACGGGTTCGCCTCGAAATTGGCCCAGTGCTGTATCGATACGGACCGATTCACGTCGCCGCCCGACGCCGGCGAGAACGTTCCCCAGATCCGGACTTTTTTGCCCGACGTACTCGTGATGTACTCGTTCATCTCGTCTACGAAGCGAGTATACTCGCCCACCAGAGCCCTGGTTCCCCCGTCAGCCAGTTATCTTCATCTGCGGAGCCGAATTGTCTCACTTACTCTTCACTCAGCGTAGGATCAACATACTCGTCCGCCCCGATAGACACCGTCTTGGTATGAAACCAAGGCAGGAAAATCTCCCAGATCTTCTGCATGGTAGGTATCGTGTCCGGGTTGGAAATGTTTAGGAGGCTCAGGTCCGACGACAGACCCAGCTCGGGACGCCACTGCGAGATGACCAGCGCGTGGCCCGGCGCCTCAATCTCTGGGAGTATGGTCACGCCTCTCGCCGCGCATTTCGTCTGGATGTCGTCCAACACCTCGCGAGTGTAAGACTCGTTCGTGCGCTTGTTGAGTCTCGCGATAGCAGGATCGTCTGACAGTAACCGAAACGCAGCATACAGCGAGAGGGACCGCTCGCGAGAGTAGATAGCGACATTGTTATAGAGATTGTCACTTAGATGGAGCTGGAAGGTATTCTGCTTGAAAAAGGACATGTACGCGCACATCTCGACGATGAACTCAGGCGGGTAGTAGTGCCGCGCGACATCGAGCTAGCACAGTCAGTGTCCCACCCTCCAAGACCGAGTCATAGAAGCACTGCTGGAAGTACGCGGTACTCACCATCATCCCCCGGGTTCCCCATCCGGGACTATCGACGCCGTACCCCAACTCCACCCCGTCCCGGAGGATCATCTGCTGCAGCACCGTCCGCGTGCCCCACCACGCCCCCAACGAGCTCGCGCCGGTGATGAGAACGCCGTCTACCGTGACGTTCAGCGCGTAGCCCTCCGACGTCTCTCTGCCTGCCGCATCTTTGAAGTTGGCCGGGTCGCCGATGGTGAGGAATATAGAGCCTTCCTCAGCCGCAGAACCAGTTTCAACAGGGACAACGAGGCCGAGAGCAGACGCTAGGTCTTGGGAGAATGTTTCCGCAAAGGAGCGCAGGGTCGGCGGGATGAGCGTCTCGCCCGCTTCATCGCGGGACTCGGCAAACTCATCATGAACAACGATTTTCTTGAAAAACGATGCAGAAAGAGTGCCGCCCGTAGACGTGTACGGCACAGTCGGGAGACCAGCGAGGAATTTTGCCGTAGCTTCAGCAGCCGCCAACACCAACGTGATGCCCGTGATGAACCGCATTGTTGCGATGTACCTGGTTTCGGTCCTTAAGAACGACGGCAATTCCTATGCGTAAACACTCTAGTTATTCATGAAAGAACCCCCATCTTATCAATCTCGCCAACTCTCGCTGCCCAACACCAGCACGGCGCGGGGTAAGCCGCTGAATTGAGGGGAAGCGGGAAAATGAAGATGTGCGATTGTAGAAGGTAGCAGCCGGAATCACGCGCGACATGTACTCCTGCCCCTCTGGCAGATCACCATCGTATCATACGGCGGCCGATGCGCTGCTGCCCGTGGGTGTGTGTGTACCTTGCATGCCCGTTTCGTCACGCCGGCCGCTGTTGGTTGATAGCAACGTTGCAGTTGGTTGTCGCTTAGGTATCTAGCAGATGGTCTGCGACCCCGGGAGAAGTGGAGATGCCGAGAGCTGTTTACTGCGGAGTTTCGCTAGGGGGGTAGGTAGGTAGGTTTGGTGGTTTAGCTTGGTGTATGGTTTGAACGTTGTAATTGAGGTGATTGGTGACATGTTACATGAGAATTGAATGGTAGTGTTTATCTGCTAAGGTTAACGGGTTTAATGATAACGATGGAGGGGGGAAGGTTACTTTGGTTGGTGGCATGGATACATCAATGATAGTATGCAGCACCGACCGCATATGCCGGCATTGCAGGGTCACTTATAGAATATGTGCTGGTTTTCCGGTTGCATTGATGAGTTGAAGATTGTGTGGTGTTTATGGTATGGTTCGCTACTTGAGGCAGTTCAGTAGCCTTGTCTTATTATCAGCATCGTCTAGATGGCACTCTCATTCCGCAGGAACCTCTGGGCCGAGATACTTATCTTGACATCTTTCTTGGACTTGAAATGAGCATACGAGTTAATGATATGCAGCTATGGTTGAGATTCTTGTCGACTGAGATATCAGGAGCACGTCGTCAATTAGCATCAGTAAGCTTTCACCTCGGCCTAGCTATTTTGTTAACATACACTTGATTGTCACAGCTCATGCCTAACCAAATCTGGAACTAACTCTCAAGATAGATACTTCTTAAATATCACCAAACTCACGAAGCAAATCGTTCCAGCAACGTAGGCAACTCCTGCAAAGATGATTAAACCTGAATATCCCCCTCCAGATCTCGCAAGTATCTCGCCAGCAATCGGCACACCCGTCAATGCCCTGAAAATAAGTTAGCCTTATATCAAGTGCGATAAAGTCAAGAACTTACCCGAGGCTAACAACAGTATACACTGTAGAATAATACCGCCCGTAGTTCTCCGTAGAGCAGTACTCGCCTACGCAAACGGGCACCAGGCTGATGTTACTGCCACTGGCGAAGCCGAAGACGACGGAGAATATCACAACAGCGACAACGTTACCGTTCGCCGGAAGCCAAATCGCAAGCATAGCGACGATGCACAGGGCATTCGTCACAATCATCGTCTTCATCCGACCAAATCTGTCCGCGACAAATCCAGGCAGCCACCTCCCGGGAAACGAACCAGCGTTTAGAAAGACCACCATCAGATACGAGAGCCTCTGGCTGATGCCGTGGGCAAGGGAATACGACGCGACATACTCAAGGCCAATGAAGAACCCCCACTCGATAAAGAAGACGCCGACCGTCATCAGCAGAACAGCAGGTCGCAACAAGATTCGGAAATCAGGGAGAATGCTCGTATCAGCCGGTTTACTCTTGTAAAAGGCCTTTCTAGGACGCACAAGAACACACCCCACCAGCAGCAAGACGACAGTAATCAGCCCGATCGCGCGGGTCGTCCAAGCGAACCCGACATCGTCGCTCAAGGCGTCAAAAACCAGAGGATACATGACTCCCCCGAGACTTCCCCCAGCCATGGCCAGCCCCGTCGCCGCCCCGCGCTTGACGTTGAAGTACTGGCCCAGCGTCGCGACGGGCACGACAAAGACGATGGACGTCGCCGCGCCGGCGACGAGACCCACGACCACCAGAAAGTGCCAGTACTCCTCGCAGAACCCGAGGGACGCAAACGTCGCCACGTACAGCACGAGACTCCCGACCATGAGCCACGTCGGTCCATACACGTCGAAGACGGGCCCGATCTGTATCCCGCAGAAGAAGACCATGAAGTTGTACAGCCCAAAGATCCAACCCCGTTTCCCCTCGCCGACGTCTTGGAGCTGGTGGCTGGATATCCAGGACTGGTAGATGCCGATGCTGTTCATCAGGCCGAGGCCGCCCATGATGGCGCTGAAGCTCCCCAAGACGACGAGGTAGGCAGCTTTTCCGCCTTCTGGGTATGTCTCTTTGGGTGTGATGGGTGCTGCTTGCTCGGGGTCTGAGTGGGACATGTCTGTTTCGTATTGTGTTTGTACATTGTCATTTGTATGCTGGACGGTCTTTTCAGCCCCATTGGCCTGGCGGTCATTAGTAGAGTAATCAACAACTGCAATATGATCAGGTCACTCACCTGTTCCTTTTCCCTGCGGAGCATGGAAATGATTGTTTGATAAGACATTTCTTTGACGGTATCTCGTTGGCGAAGTACCTCTAAAAATGAGACGAAACGTATGACGATCTTCCACAGGATCAAGGACTGAATTTAGAAGAACAGAAAACCAACCAGCTCCTAGCATGAGTGCTTCTTGAAAATAAAGCCAACTGTGATACTTTTTCAAACATGCCTGTATTTGAAATATGACTGTTTGGCCGATCATTAGGGTTCTCCATGCAAGAAATATTCATAGCCAATCGACTTGCACCGTAGTCCGTGTCAGCGGCCATTGAATTCGCCGGGCGGATTTCGCCGAACATCAGTGCCACCTCATTTCGCCGAAGAGCTCAACCCAATCTACGTCACAAATTGGCCGATGAGGAGCAGCACCAACTTCCATCACACTGTTCCGTTCGGCGAATCTCTACACCTCTACGCCCAATTTGCGAGTTCAATCCCGCTGCAGACGAATAGCCATGCCGAAGCCTTCAACGCCTAGACAGGCGAGTTCGGCCATTGAGCCCACACGATCGTACCGGTCGCAAAAACGCCATCGGCCATGCGATCGATGCCGTGAGATGAAGCTGAAGTGCCAGAGGGACGAACATCCTCCTTGTCGACGTTGTCAACAGAGCAAAGTTGAATGCACATTCGTCGGCAGACCGAGCAAGAGAGCACCGGCCCAAAAGTCGGACAGGCAAAGGGCGACCACAAACGAATCGCCCCCGTCGTCTTCGGCCGAGATCCAGGCCTCTGTCATTGCTGTTGACGAGACTCATCCAGCGCCTCAATCCCCTTCGCGGGCTTCAACTATTGGGCCAGAAACCTACCCTCGTCAAGACGCCCCATACACTCCGTTCCCTCACGCCTTGACGGCTTCTCCCTTCGTTGGTGCGCAGCCAGGGCATCCCACAACGCAGATCTCCCAGAGCCTCGATCTAATGGAAGGCCACAGCGCAATGCTTCTTGGCAGTTCTTCGGGGTCGGATCCCTGGCTTCTTAGGCATTTCCGCTTCGACGAGCTCGGGTTGAGAAGTTTCCATAAGCTACATATCCGAAACGCTGGCGGCGTTCCCACAGTCGACAAGATTCCGGTGCATTTCCTGCTCAGCTCGGATTCGCTTGCAGGAGCGGTTCAGCCACGCTCGACGGACTCGCGACAGAAACTCGATTTGTTGGTGCCACAGTCCATGGGAGGACGTCTGGTTCGTCTGTAAGTTGAGGTACTTTGCCTTTACGCAAACATAGTGGCTGATGAGATAGCTTCCACAAACACGTATTTTCAATGTTGCCAGTGATATCGAGGACCGGTCTTGCTCTGGTCTCGGAAGATACAATCCCCGACTTAAACGTATTGACGGCAATGCCAACTCATCTTTTAGCTGCTATATACGGCACGGCCCTTCCATTTGCGATGCACGATGACCAACTTGCGCCTCTTCTTGCCTATGACCGTGTAATACTGGATGGTATATGGGATCTAGAGCACAGTTGCTTGCAGGAAGAAATGGCCAGACCCCATCTTTCAGTTCTTCAAGCAGCCCTCCTATATCTACATAAGAAGAACGAAGACCAACGAAGAGATGCCGTGACGGACACCGCCTCCGTGTGGCCATTTATGGGTACGGTAGCTGGTCTGGCACATAACTTGGGTCTTCAGCTGGAATGTCGAATGATGGGTCTACCGGCGCAGGAGAAGCGACTCCGAAGAAGGTTATGGTGGATGGTGTACATCCAAGACAAATTTCTTTCACTCCTGGTAGGCCGGCCGCCATACATTCGGAAAGAGGAATGGGATGTGAGCGAATTAGACGAGTTCGACTTTGCACCCTACGGTGAGATCGAGACCTCATCAGCACGAAATGCATACCCGTTTCGAGACATGGCGAGGCTGGCGCGTGTAGCAGAAACATTACAGGCCGATTTATAGTAAGTAACTCATCGGAATATCTGAAATATCGCTAAGGGCAGTGGTAGCTCTCTCAAGTCATGTCAGAAGCTGGCCGAAAACCTACCGGGTTCTATCCAAGCAGCTCGGCCCGTGTTCGACGCTCTTCACGCGTGGCGGGCCACCATTCCAGCACCAGAGCCCTATCACGCACGCCAAGAAGTAGGCACCGGCAGCTCGGATTCGTATAATGCTTGTGTATATCTCGCATACTTGACTCTCATAGCGTACACGTGGAGAGCTTTGCTGCGTCCTGCCGTTCGGTCCCCTCCACCGCCGCAAATCATCGATGTGGACGCCGAGCCGCAGATGTTTCCCGACACTGGTTTCCTGTTTGAGGACCTCAGCTGGGACTTTTCGGAACTGCCAGAGATTGAACTACAACTCGAGGACGGTGCCACCGACTCGAGCGCCACGATAAAGGAGCTTCACCAGGCGGCTCAAAGTTGGGCAGAGAGCTTAGTCCAGTTCATCGAGCGATTATCTTCCAGTCATATTAGCGGATTTTGGTATTCGTGTAAGTAGTGGCTTGTTTTGTTGATATACCTTCAAAGACCTGGTCTAACATTCGTGGCTCTTAGGGTCCAAGTATGCCTTTGTAGTAGCATCCAACCTCCTTATGTTGTTGCTTGTCCAGGCCCCCAGCTCAGAAAGTGGCAGCAGGGCTAAGCAAGTATTGGAGCACTGGCGCCTGGTACTGAGAAACCAGAGTACGGTTTCCTCGCTTTTCCTACTTGCGTCCACGCAACTAAGTCAAATTTATGGGGTTGGACTTAGCCAGACGTTTTGTTTGCCGCTGCATGTCCAAGATATACTTTAAAAATTTAGCCTGCTAAAATTGACGTCAAACAAGTTCTGTCAGAGGACTCATTGGAAAGGGTTTTCTTTCGGCGAAATTGATCGGCCAATTAGTTCCGCGGCGAATCGGCCAAAATTGACTAGGTACATAGATAATGCCCTCATCCATAAGCTGATAGATACCATTCAAATATTTTCAAACATGGTAGTAGTGTTTGTCCGTTGTACCAATCATTATGGACAGATATATCGATATGAGCGCTGGCACCCTGGACGGGCGCAATGCCCATGAGTCCAGCCCTCCCCTGTATCAGCGACAAGCATGTCAAGACCAGGAACCTAGCCTTCCACCCTCATATATAGAAGCCACGCAATCTGACGACAACGGCGTTGAAGGTGGCGATGTGCCAGGCGACAAGGAGGGATGGGGACAACACAGCCTACTCTCTCGCTGTCTTAAGCGCATAGCAAAATCATTTAAGCCGGAACCTGCACCCATGGAGTAAGTTGTCGCAAAACACCAACCTGGAAGAGAAGTATGCTGACCAGGATACTCCAGAGACGCGAGACAGGAACTTATTGTCTTTTGGCCAAGCACCGGTACCTTCGCCGTCATAGAGGCACCACTGCATTCCCAAATACGAAAGAGTGGGCATCATCCCCCCTTTACTGATTTGACAAACTAACAAGTAGATGCAGACTCAGACATGTGTTTTGGCTCATGCTGCCGCAAATAGTCTGGCCTCTTTCCGTCACTTTTGGCCGTATTGAGGTGGATATGGAGACGTTTATCACGAGGGGTTCATCGTCAGATCAATCATCCAACAGGCTTATATCATTCTGTCGCAATAAGCCATGTCGGCTGACGGGGAAGTTACAGGCTCACACTGTACTTACCCATAGACCCCGAGATACACCAGGACCATATCCAACTGCGCCAGCATTACTCTTGCGGTACGAAAGCACGAGGCATTGACTTGATCGAACGGCCGGAGATAATTCCATGGCATGCCGCACATGTCACCGCGCATGTCACATAAAGTTACGTGAATAAGAAATGGAAGAGATTTTTGGAGTTTGCCTCAAGCTTCCTAGTATGCACATCTTGTTTAAATATCTACAGCGAAATGTCTTTGGTAATGGCCACACTGAGCCACTATCCACGCCAGCCCTGGATCTCGTCAAGAGTAAGAACATAATCACTCTCGTAGATCTTTAGACAGTTAGTCGCATAATCTTAAATGAATGCAAATAGTAGGACGCGCTTACCTTCTTCAAGTCTGCGACACTGTTCCATTCAGCATTGTTGATAAAGGTGTCACCCCAGACGCAGAAGTACAACCAGTGAGCCTCGTATGCCTGAAGCAGGTCAGGGAAAGGCGCACTACCGACTTCGGTCGCAGCGATCAACTTCTTGTCCTTGCCGAGGGTGATGAGATCGTTGTATTGCGTGGTCATGGGCTGAACATTCATTAGCATTCTACTTCATAGTCAGACATATCCAAGGGAAACTCACTCCGTGGCCCTGAGCATAAACATCAGCGCTGAGAATGTCGACAGTGTCATCACCAGGGTACCAGGCAGGAGCAATGGAGTTCCAGATCCAGACAAGGTTGTTCAGGCCGTGGTGGTTCGTCAGACGGTCGTGCAACAAAGCCCAGAGCTTCTTGCACGGCTCGGGGCCCTTGGCACCCCACCAGAACCACGCACCCTCAGCCTCGTGAAGCGGGCGCCAGAGAACGGGGACACCGGCGTCCTGGAGCTTCTTCAGCTGGACGGCGATGGCGTCGATGTCGCGGATGATGAGCGTGTAGTTGGCGTTGGTGGTGTCGGCCAGAGCCTTGCTGACGTCGAAGTCGGTGGCTCGCGTGTAGAAACCGCTCCACCACTTGTTCTCCTCGGTGTCATACAAGCCAGTGGGTGCGTTCCAGTGCCAGAGGACGGAGACAATACCGCCCCGCTTGTGGTGGGTGATGGCCTCCTCGACAGCAGTGCCGACAGTGCCGCGTTCGACACGGCTGGGAGAGTAGTCCATCAGGTCAACGCTGACGAGGGCGGGTGTCTTGCCGACTTGTTCGTTGATCCAGTTGGAATAGGAGAGCTCCTGTTGGCCCGAGAGGATCTTCTTGCCGTAGATGGAGCGGAGGTAGGAGTAGAGCGCCTTAGCATCAGCGTTGGCGTTCGCGTTGGTGAGGGCTTCGTTAATGTTGTGAGGGCCGCGAGGGGCGGTAGGAGTCAGGGTAATGGAGTCAATGAGGTACCTGCCATGGTTAATATGACGCCGATTGTGATCAAGCTATGACTTCTTACCATCCCCAGTTCCTCACGATATCAATCGTGTTTTTCCCCTCGTTGAGCAGCACTTGGCCAGCAGAAACGGTGGCCCAGGTCTCGCCGGCAGCAAGGAGGACCTCGTTAGAAGCACCGCCGTTGAGAACGACACTGGTACGCTTCTCGCCATAGATGGCAGCGAACCTAATGTTTAGGTCAAAGAGCTTCTGCCCTTCTCCAGTACAGTCGACATTGATGGTGACCTTGGCGTTGTCACCTTCGAAGCCAGTCACATAACCAGTACCTGTTTAACGTACTCAGTTAGAAAAGGATAAAACGATTCCTACTATGCACAGGTTTTCTTACCTGTGAAACCGGCTTGGGCGGTGTCGAGCTTCGTTCCCGAGAGAACACCATCCTCGGCCTCATAGACCTTGGCACCAGTGCTACCAATGCATGATTGCGAATACACGCCAGCGGCAAACGCAAGGACAGCGCGGAGGGAAAGCGCCGTGGACCTCGCCATGGTTCTCATGCACGATCAACGCGGGGATAGATTCAAGGAGGAGTAGAAAGAAAACAAAGATCGGCTGAAACGAACATCGTCTCGAGTGAGCACCAGGTCCCCGGGTGCAACCAGTCTGATATATACCTTATTCTGGACCATTAACCCATTCTAAGTCGGACGGCTAGTAGTGACCCCCCTCAATCTCGCCATATGCCGTCAGGGAATCACGAGGGAGGAGATCATTAAGATTCCAGGGGGAACGGAGGTTAATTTTGCGTCTCCACATCCACCCGCTTCCCCCATCAAGAAGTATATGCCGGGAATTGAAAGCTGTGTGCCGGGGGCCATGACGGAGGGGGCTTTTGCATCCTTGAAAGTGAACGCGGAGTGTCACGCTCCGTGTGCGGCGAAAGGGGGCGGTGGGTTTGTGCGGCTTGGTTTTTTGGAGTTCCCTGTTGGCCAAGACCATGTGAGAGGGCGCAAGACTTTACGATTTGCGGAGTAATTTGACGTAGGTGGTGAGAATGTAAATCCAAGACGTTTTGAGTCAATTATCACGTAAACCTTCGCAACGCTGTCATCCGAACATCCCCCTTCAGACAAAAACCACTTGGTTTCTTCGCCCGAACTCGACGAAAGCTTTTGTGATGGGTCTTTGCCGATCGTGCGGCTATTAGACCACCGCCGAGGCTCGCGAGGGTTTTGGGACATGGTCAGGCCTTGTACCGTTGATCCACTTCGCATCAACTAAATAGACGCACACACACACGAAATTTTCAAGCTCAAGGAACGGGGAATCCCGCAACTACATGATGCCCCGTGAGTGATCGGACGGCAAGCAAACCTGCAGATGATTTTCATCTGCCCGGCTAGCTCAATCGGTAGAGCGTGAGACTCTTAATCTCAAGGTTGTGGGTTCGACCCCCACGTCGGGCTCAATTCCCGTCAGCGATTGACCTCTCTTTTTGCTTTTTGGAGTTTTGGTGTAACTGGCTTCTTGTTGTAGTCCAGTTCATCTTGGATTGGATCTAAAAGGTCTTCACACGGGCCATCTGGTAGCTGTCTCTTCAAGGCTGCTGAGAAGAAGCAAACAGCTTCATATTTGTACATCACCAAGTATGTCATAACTACTTGGAGTAACTCCCTAGACTTTCGTACAACCATGAGGTTAAGTGCAGACTATTCCGTTAAATTCGAGTCTAAGCACTTGGAATTTTGCCAATCCTCAGTGTCGGCTTGACACCTCATGATTGAAATACCTTGATGGGCTGTCTTTTAATGGTGAACTGTTCCCTGCTTTAAACATCGTACCCTATTCTATCAACAAACTATTTGGCCATGTTCACTGGGTCTTGTGCTTCAAAATCGACATTCTCTTATCCTTGCATGCGCTTCCTGATCTTTATTTCAACCGCTGGGTTCGGCATCATCTGGGCCGAATCTTTAACAAATTTCAGAGGCCTCTTGACCTCGGCATCGCTATCTTTCTTCAACTCCACATCATAATGCATTAAAAGCTCAATAATTATGCACTTGATCATGTAAATGGCAAAAAAGCGGCCTGGGCAGGCGTGTGGGCCGGAGCCAAAGTTGAAAGAATCCGGACCGGTAGCCGTTGCCTGATGTTTCATCTCGCGACCAGGCATTTCTCGAAGACGGGCGAAACGGAAGCCATCGAACTCCGCTGGCGGTGCGTTATTTGTGCCAGCATTATACTCTGGGCTCAGAAACTCTGCTGTGTCGGTGTGGCTACCGGAATCTCAGTCATTGAGCGGAACAAGACTTCTTCGAAAAGACTTACTATACGCCCCATAGAGGAAATGAAGTTGGAGTGCCGCCGGGATTTTCAGGCCGTTGGAAAAGGTGTAGTCCTTCCGTGCGCGTCTAATTGAGCCCCCTGACATGATGGATCAATATGTAGCTGGTCCCGGCTGCAACGATGAACAATCATACCAATATTCAAGGGACTCATTCGCTGACTTTCTTTGATAAAGCTGTCTAAATTTTTCAATTGAGAAACGGATGACTTGGAGAGATAAAGATGGCCATCTTCATCTTTCGAAAAACCATCTTTAGCAATGACTTGGTCGATCTCCTCTCGAAGAGGTTGGATATATTGAGGGCGACTGAGAAGGTCGAAAATGACCTAGTTAGACGTCAGTGAAATTACTCTCAGATAATTGTAGGACACAACACACAAAAGTGGCCGTGATTGACGTTGTGTGAAGAGCAGCAAACGACAGCAATATCTGGCGTTTTCCAATCGTTTCGGCTGTCCTCTGTTCTTGCGGAAGGTACTTCATTATCCAGGAGATGAAAGCACCTTTGGATCCAGGCTGGGGAGGTTTCTGCTCAAACTCGTGCTGATCCTGAACATATTCCTTCACGAGGGGCCGCATCCACTCGTACGCCTTTTCCTTTTCCCTCAGCAAGTGTTTGACCTCAGGAAGGTAAGGCAAAAAGAAAGACCGTATCGAGGGATTCAATCTCAGCATTGCTGCGCTGGATTTAGAGACATCAACCGCGAAATTGATCGAGGTTGCTAGCCATTCTTTGTCACGGCTAAGGGGCAAGCCGACGAATATACGACCGCTCATCAAGCCAACCATGCGGAGAACAGTCTGGTAGGCTTTGAGGGTCTTCCATTCATTTCCGCTGCCGACAGCTTGACCCAGGCCGAATCCTATCTCGGCTTGGATAAGCGGCAAGATGCCATTTAAGTTTCTTGTTAGATCTCCCCGCACAGCGCTGATGACTTCTGGGGCTCTCTCTCCGATGTGTGTAAATCGTCCAAGAAAAAGTTCGTAGAGTTCAGCACGGAAGGAAAAATTGGATTCGTCGGCGTAAACGACTTCATTGTAGAGGCTCATGGGGAGAACAACCCGTCTTCGCCACTTTCAGTTAGCCAAAGTGCTTACTTGCCTAGAAGCTTTAGACATACGGTGGGTCCGAAGCAATGATGAATGGTGTGTCAGGGTGCTTGGTTCAGACATGATTAGCCTCATAAAGCGGCAGCAAGGGAAGCTCGAAACTAAGAAACACCTTTTTGTAGCCTTCAAGCATAGCACATGTGAGGTCTGGATCATTGGTGGATCCAACAACGGGTAGAGCAAGCCTCGACACCGATTTCTTCCATCGGCAAAAACCGCCATACATGGCGGCCGCAACGATAACTGAGGACCAAAGCCACCACAGCATTTTGGTGGTAATCGCAACTGGTTCTAAAAATTATTCAAAAGATTCTTCTACCAAAAATGAATGAAATGTTGATCGATCAAACTGTTTAGGCATCAGTGGGATTCGGCTTCTTAAGGCAGCATCACCATAAATAATATTAATTCTTGTGTAACGGTTCATCAGTACCACAGCATCTGCCAGTCAGTTAAGTCTCGGAATATTTTCTTTAAGGTCGAACTAGTACATTGTCGATCTGAAAAGATCAGCGAAACCTGTTATGTAGCCCATCCATTATCCTCCAGGAGACGCCACAGTAACATTTCGTGCCAGAGTCTCACCACATGCGGCAGGCCATCGACACACTACCCATCAGCTTGCATGGCATGCTGTTCTATCTATCTCCCCTTCAACAAACTTGAAGAAGAATCGGTCCAAACCACACGTGTTGCTTAAAGTTCAACATCCATGATGAAGCTTAAGGGTTTACTAAACATACATTTCTCTGCCCAATCCAACCGTTTTAACTACTTCAAATACATTAACTTCTCAGTGAGGTATTTATCACCCTTGTTTTACACAATTTCCGGCCAATTTCAGACTTCTCGGCTGAACTTCTTTGTGGCTGATTTACTGTCTTGCTGACCTGATGTCTCGTCGACTCGCAATCTGGCTGGGTTAAGGTACTACCTGGTTGTAATGAGTGTAGGTTTCACAGGGGGTGAAACGGAATTCCGTTCGTCAATAACAAATAACAGTAAATTGGTTCTAATCGATGGTTCATGATAGTTGAAAGTGGTGTTGTTGACTAGAAGGTGGGGATATTCCCCCTTGGCCTGTCACGTGGGTCTGGGAGGCTTAGGCCTCTCAGCCTGGCGGGCGTGTAGTGTTACGGCCAGCTAACTGACAGTGGGTTTGTGTTAACAGTAAGCCAGGGATTGAGAGTAGTAACAGTCGTTCCGTGGTCCTGGTCGAATAGATCGTAGATCTTCAAAGGTCTTGGTGATCAGTCAAGGCCTCAACAAGAGTCGTAGAGTAGTCGTCACTTAGGTATAGCTGAAAGTACCGGTTAGGGTAATCACAAAGTTGATTGCTGAAGAGCTATGGAAGTCTGTCCTCGAGCCCGGCTCGAGTCCATCCTATATACAAGTCCTGAACGGTCCTCCTTATCTTGGCTATGTTGGATATTTGACATATCCAACATATCCGGGGATCGGTTGGATATTTGACATATCCAACATATCCAGCCCGGGTTGTCCTTACCCCGCGTTATCCCCGAGGCCACGTGACTTGTCCATAGTTCTTCCGTTCCGAGGATCCCTGGTTACACCTGTCCGGCTGGGTTACATATGCCCTGCGTTAGCCGCCGGGATCCAGGCGGGGTCGTGTTGGCGACCATGTCCAACGGGTCGTAACATGTAGCTAGAAGTGCCACACGACTCCGTATTCCAACTATCGCAACACTAGAAACTCTCTTTTTATAGTATTGAAGCGGTTAGAATACGTTATCCCTATACAGTTCCGTCTCCTCGTTAATTCAGCCTCCTATCCTTACTTTCTCCCGTAGTTACGGTCTTGTTACCTATCCCTCTATACGTATCGTTATCGTATTGCTATTAACGAATCTCTCGAAGGCTTGATTTAGTTTACTCTTCGTAAAGGCATTAGCAAGGTTGTCTTCGCTATTAATCTAACGAATTTCTTATAGTTCTCGTCTTTCGTACGATTATCTTAACGCTATAATATCGATTATAAGTCGCTTTTCTTTAGTAATACCTAGCTTTACGAGATACTTATATAGCAAATAAGAATCGGTATAGATAACTATCTAAATCGTTAATAGGTTAAGGTAGTTAGTAATTATCGCTAGGGTTATAGCGAAGGCATAGGCTATATCGACGCTAGCAACTATCCCGTAGATCTCTAACGCTAATACGCTACGGGTAACTTATTTACTCTTCGTAAAGCTATAATAAACAAGGTTACTATAAATCGTAAATTCTCCGTTATTACTATTAGAAGAAGTATCGTTAGCTAGGATAATTAGAAACCCTAATTAAGAGGAAAGGTCGTAGTTATTAGCAAACAACCTGTTAACGAAAACGAATAGCTTAGCTATTATAAGGTCGAGTAAGATAAACGTTATTCCTCGGTTAAGCGATTCTATTTACTATCGAATCCGTTAATTTAGTACTTTTATCGCTTCTAGCAAGGGGTCTTAATATTAAGTAGTAGTAGATAAATCGAAACAAGCCTTAGGTTAGCAAATTAACGCGATATACGCCCTTCTAGCGCGTTGTTCGATATATTACTATTTTAGGTTAGGTTTAGTAGTCTTAATATATCGTAACTTCTTAGCTTATCCCTTTTACCTTAAATTAATCGAATTATCGGTTAATAGCGCGATTATCCCTCCGTTAAATTAGAAGGGTTTGTTAATTATAAGGATATTCTTCGCTTTTGTTATAAAAGCTGCTTTTTCTAACTATTTATCTTCTAATTATAAGAACGCCTTGTCTAACAAACCGAGGGTATCGTCGGTTTATATACCGATATAGCTAAAGTATAGATTTTCGGTAGATAAGATCAATAAGTATAGATCGTACGAAGAAGTAACTATCTAGAGATTCTCTCTATAATACTTATAATACGTTGCCTACTAGTAGGTTCTAGCTTCTGCGATTCCGTACAGAGGCTTTACAACCTCTATAATAGTCCCTTTTAGGTACTAGTCTTGAATTTGCTTCGGTAGGTAGGCGAGAATAGTACGATTAAGCCTTGTAGAGGATTAAACGTAGGCTTATATAATATCTTAAAGCTATAGTTATTTCCCTTCTCGTAGGAGTAATAAGGTAATTAATAGAATTAGCTATTAACTTGCTTGCTAAATCGTTAGCAATTAGGTTAATATAGCCTTCTTACTATCGTCGGCATAACCCTATATTATAAGTCTCGATTTCTCGTAAGGTTCGGTTGTTTTACCCTTGACTTCGTTAACGATACGAGATCGGAAGATTCATACGTTCTAATACCTTCTCTTATTAAACTAAGTAAATTTAAATACTCTTCTAGCGATAAGGCTATTAATCTCTTATTTAGTTAACTATTCGAACGGTTCGCTTAGTATAGTAATAATACCTTCTCGTCGTAGTTTGATTACTAATTCTTCGTCTACTTACTCCTTAATCGATAAGAATATTTATTAATAATCCGGGTTATTATTAAATTCCTTTATAAAGTAGGCGATTAGCAGTAGTCTCTTCTAGGGTCTACCCGGGCGTCTTCTTAGTAGCTCCGGTACCTCTTACGGTTCGTCTGGTTTACTACCTCCGCCGGCGACAATAATTTCGTCGCATACTACTTCCTACTACGGTATCTTAGCTTCGGGTTTTTTTTCTTCTAGCGCGGCGATGGAATTAAGTAGTTAATCGGGATCTTTATAGTATAGTTTAACTACGGTAGACCGGAAGGTCTTCGGACTACATAGCGTATCGATAGTATAGGTTTCGCCGTTTATAGCTACTAAAGTAAATAGTCTAGTCTAGCCCTTCTTTTCGCGCTATACTTATACTTACAACCATAGTAGTAAATTAACAATTAGCCTTATATTAAGGCTATTATAAATAGCGATAGCTTCTACTACCTATCGCCTTACGTAAAGTTTATATACTTCGCTTATCGCCTTCTTAATCGCTTTCGCCTACCTTATAACTTCGGGAGATAGTAGTAAATCGTTAGTAATTCGTAAGTATAAGCCGAATACTAAGAGTATTAATACTATTCCGTTTAGGCTAGCAGTATCGTTAACTACTTTAACTACTATTTAAAGTACTGATTCTAGCGTAATTATTAAGTCTTCTACTTTAATAATTTCGTACGCCCTCCTTAGAGGTATATAGTATCGTTTAACTTTCTTAATACTATTATAGGCTTTTATAGGAATTTCCTTGATTTTAATTGCTATTCCTCTCGCCGCGTTTCGGAATTCTATTAAGCGGAAGTTTATTTTAGCGTCGGTAACTAGCTAGTCTAAGGGTCCCTAATATATATCTATCTAGCAGAGGCGTAAGGCTTCCTAAATAGCTTTCGTAGAAATATCCTTAAGGAACCAGGCGGCGTTAAACGCTATAGCGGTATCGACGACGTAGAAGACCGGTCTATTACCTTCAAGGTATATTACGTCGGCGATAACCTCGTAGTTAAATTCGTAATCATCTCGTAACGTAAATTTAAACCGTGATAGCGCTAGTATGTATATTTAGCATCGATAGCAGACTTTCGATAGTTATTTAATTACCGTAATTTCAACTAAGTAGCTAGCCCTCTAGAGTACTTTATATAATCGTTAAACAGATAGGTATCCGAAGCGATAGTAAACCCGTCGTAATTTAACGTCTATAAGGTAGTTCTAAGCAAGTAGTTTCTCCTTATCAAGTAATAACCATAGGTAGTGTCACAGTTAATAAGTCGTTCTAGTCATTGTTGTCTCTTAGGTTAGGTCTATCCTAGGTCTAGCGAACAGGTGGTCTAATATACCTATAGGGCGGTCTAGGGCGACAGTATCGCCCCACGTGTGGCAGCCCCACTGGCAGCCACACTGGCAGCCCCATAACTGTGGCATCCCTACTGTTGTGTCTAATAGAACTGTGACAGGTGCCCGTCCCGAAAAAGACGATCGTCCCGATCGTTTCGGCTGCCTAAACATGACTTTAAACGGCTTAATAACATGACTTCCTTAGGCCTCTATTAGTGCGAGGCGTAATAGGGGGGTATGCCTAAGGCTGGCTGTAATTAACTGGCTGGGCGTAACTGTCTGGCTGGGCGTAACTGTCTGGCTGGCTGGCTGGCTGGCTGTAATTAACTAGCTGGGCGTAACTGTCTGGCTGGCTGTGCTGGCTGGCTGTAATTAACTAGCTGGGCGTAACTGTCTGGCTGGCTGGCTGGCTGGCTGTAATTAACTGGCTGGGCGTAACTGTCTGGCTGGCTGGCTGGCTGTAATTAACTAGCTGGGTTGGCCCAAAGCG